AACATGTCTAGCTGAGTCCCTGCTCCAAGGTTGCCCGATCCGTTGCTGAACTATCTCTCGCTATCTGGGGAACATGGCCATGGTAAACCCTGCGTTGGCAGATGTTGAACTATTCTGGTTGGTGGTATACCTACCCCTCTGAAAAATATGAGTTTGTCAGTTGGGATGATTAATCCCAAAATATGGAGAAAAAAAAAGGTTCCAAACCACCAACCAGTATTGAATTTTGTGAGTTTGCGTCCCATTACCAAGTTGGATTTGCCAAAGCGTAGTCTCAAAACATGTATCCCATTGAGATTATCTCATTGCATCTGAAATGGACTATTCTTCCTGCAACATATTTCCGAAGGATCCGTATATATATATATGTAATTTGCAAGTTTTGCCGCATGCTTTGTTTATATTTGACTACGACATTGATATGCTCATATATGGGGGGGGTTGCCTAAAAATAAGGTGTCACCCACATTTGATTGTCAATCATCATTTCCCCTTTCTGAAACTGCCATTTTGGGAGCCCAAATTCCCCATGATCAATCATACCGTCAAAGAATACCTTCATGAATAGTCATCCCCGAACACTAAAACACCCACCATTTTCCAGTGGGTATGACCAACTGGTTGGTGGCTTCAGCCCATCTGAAAAAATGAAAGTCAATTGAGATGATGACATTCCCAATGGAAAGTCACTTAAAATTCCATGGTTCCAAACCACCAAGCAGCCACTGTCTATATGCCCATAAAAAGTTGCTGGTCATGACCCTTAGTTAGTTGAATCCTCAACCCGCATCACCCTTCACGGAAGGCCATCCCGAAAAATCTGGTGCAAATTCGTTGACATGATGCAAAGTAGCATGGCCAATGATCATCCGAACGGGAAAATGGACATAAATATGTTCTCACCGTTCTCATCTCCGATTCGAACAAGAATATCTCCATCCCCAGGATCGCCACGGGCAAATGCCGATAGCACAGCGAGTGCATGCAAGTGTATGGGAGTGCTGTTCCGAGCCGCTGCCATCGAAGACGGTTTCAGCTCCGAACTTTTACACCTTCAAAGTTTGGGCGATTGCGGGACGATGCGGGCCATTTTTTGACCCTAAGAATTCCATCTCATTCATGCCATGGAAGGGTTAGACAATGCTGGGCACCCTATCGTATACTTCCGTAACAACCAGGCTTCTGGCCGTACATGCAATCGGGGCCACCCAAGTCATTTCCACCCAGAAAAGATCTGAAATGTCAAACTTTGTGGACGTGTACATGGCAAAATGGTCAGCAAGAGAGGCAGCTCAGCAGCTCGTTATCACATCGTCACATTTCATCACATTTCTGTAAGAATGACATAATGAGCTAGTGCACTAACGCCCAATATCTTTAAACATCTTTCAACCATTTCGCCACCCGCCAAGACGTCCAACTTGCAAAAACCCTGAAGCAATCTGGCAGCCATGGCATAATCTATATAACCTTCAAAATGCCCAAGAAATCCACCCCAAAAAAATATCACATCATAGCTTCCAATGTCAGTGTTCATGCTCCCTTCCGTCACCTGCGACGCTTCGAAACGTTCTCGCGCTGAAACCGCGCGAGGTGGAGACTACACAGCGTGCAGTAGATGCTCTGAATTGTTGCAAAAAAGCTACTCCCCTTTCTTGCTTCCAAAAACCACAGCAGCTGTTGATCCGACAGGAAGTCACCATCAACAATGGCTGGTTGACAGAGAAATCAATCAAGATATGCCGACATTAACTCAGCGTCCACTGGTTTTCTTGCGAAGTCTGGATTGTGCAAATGCATCAAGCCTAAGTGACACAGAATTTGGACAAAAATGAACCTATCATAACCTTTCTATCTTTCTGATGGACTTGAAGCACGTTCGAACTATCAAAGCTGGATCAATACAGAACTGTTTTGGCAGAAAGATTACCTTAAGAACAAGGACCTGTTGCAGTTCCTACACCTTGCTTCAATGGTGGCTCTCGGATTCGAACGAGATAACGAGAGGTTTTTCGAGGCCTTTTGGACCTGAGGATCTTGCAATGGTCACTGGAAAGCAGTGTCAAGGGAACCAACTGGTACATAAGCAAATCATCAACCAAAGCCCCGCTGGGCGGAAGCTGCACGCTCCGCCACTCTGCGGAGGCACGGAAGAGGCACAGGGCAAAGACTCTTTTTGGGTCAGATGTTGACGTTAACAAGTTTGATCTAGGACATGGTTCATTAACATTATGAAAAAACAAAACAAACGAAAATCAAACTTCATCACATGCCATCCATAGACATATCATGACATATCGGCAAAATATTTTTGAGGCTAACTGGGATGATCCCCAGTCGCAGTTGGTTGATGGTTGGTACGCCTACCCCTCTGAAAAATCATGGAGTTCAAGTCAGATTGGATGATGACATTCCCAACGACATTGGGGAAAAATAACAAAATGTCTACCAAATCACCAACATCTGCAGATAATTCAGTGCTCTAATTTTCCCATAAATCTATGGATTATCTATATTCATGATGGATCTATGATGGATTATTCATGATTATCCATGCTTCAATTTTCATGGTCAACCATTAAGGTAGTCCACTAAAAACTGTTTTTTTTTGCTAGCTAGTTCTGGTCATGTTCCAGTGATAGAACAAACTCACCCGGAGGCTCTGCCCTGCCGGCACCGCGCGGGCCTTGAGCTCCTGCGGGGCGAAGCTCCCGGCCAAAGAGCTGGGGAGCTTAACACGTTCACTCGAAAAAAGAGGCTGAGTGGATCCCATAGATTGACATAGGTAATAGGTTGGTTTATAATGGAAAATCCATCTATAAATGGATGATTTAGATATATATATAGACCTACTTTGTATACAGTCCCATATGCGAACCATGGTGCTGGAATATGAATCCCAACATTTGCCCTTGTCCAAAATCACCCAGTCATGTAGGTAAATATACCAGCACCATGGGTTGCGGGATAGAATATCCATATCGAATTGGGTCAACCACAAGTTGGTCAATGAAATTGCTGTGAAATTGGGTCTCAGTCAGGTAATAACTCCTCCTCCTAAGTTTGTTGAACTTTGACGCACCAAACATTCCCCCCCACATGGCTTCGTCTGAAACATTCTGAAACCATGGTACCCCTAAATCCATTGGTTACCCTCTGGTAAACAAACATAGCTATTGAACATGGCCATTTATAGTACATTTACCCATTAAACATGGTGATTTTCCATAGTTATGTTAGTTTACAAGAGGGTAATCACCATTGTTCCAAATTTTGGCTATCTGGGAATATACCCCAAGCATCCCGGCTCCGGACCTAGAATTTTCGATAGCACAAAAGGCCCCCAAGATGCTGGAAAGTGATACGGAAACCTGGAAATGATATGGAAAACCCTCATTGATCTAGCATCCTGGGAAATGGAAATCGCATTTCTATCTGATTTATTCTTTTTGGGGGCTACTACGCCTTGAAATTTGAGACCCTGTCCAACTTGTCCGAACTGGGGGGCATATGCCCCGGACAAAGCCATGTAAATCTTCTGCCGTCTCAGCGAGTTGATATCTCATATAAAAGCTTGCTTGTCTTCAAAGCTGAGTCTAGGATCAATAGATGAGACTATTGTTTATTGTCCTAGACTCAGCTTTGAAGACTACTGATCCTAGACTCAGCTTTGAAGAATATGATTGTCCTATTTTTGAAATCGGCACTTACAACTTTAATACAAGGACTCTGGCAGCTTCCCGTGCCTCATCAGGAGCTGAAACCTCAGGACCAAAGCACCAAGCATTGGGACATCGACAAACTGCCGATTATTATAGTCATTGTTGTAATATGGGTAAAAGAATAATAAACCACCCATTTGGGAATGGTTTATAGCATCTATTTATGATGATTTGGGGTATGGTTTCTTATTCTTTTACCCACATCAGTGCAAATTCTATACCTTTTTCATGTTCATCCTTTTTAGTTAAAGAAAAACATAATCCCATCCCCATACGATGTTTTAAATCCTATGGTCCCGTTCGTGTAAACGTGTAGTCCACACGAAAGCTCCGGCATTGCCGGCCTCCGCGGTATGGTTATCACATATTTATCACGGGTTGAGCATAAACTTCTAACTGGTTGGTGGTACACCTACCCCTCTGAAAAATATGAAAGTCAGTTAGTGTTACTATTCCCAATAAATATATATATACATATATATATATATACATATATATACATATATATATATACATATATATATATATACATATATATACATATATATATATATACGTAATTATATGTAATAATATATACGGAAAAATGAAATTCATGTTCAAAACCACCAACCAGACATGATCGAACATGAAGCCTCTTGGCCCATGTTTTCTTGGATACTCACCAGGGGCACCTATGGAGCCTATGGGGCACCTGCCTTTACCGATAGCATTCCCACGGCTGAGAACCCCAACTTATCGACTTGTTAGTTGATCTTGCAACTTGTTCACGAGAGCCTGGGCGACGGCGACCACCCGACTTTTAAGCGGCGACCGGGCCCCATTGACGGTGAAGTTTCGCCCTTACAATTCGTGATTGTTGGTGGTTAAGACTTGCCCAAAATCTGAAAGTTTTTCTTTTTTTGCATATATCATTTATAAAACTATTTTTGGTTAACAAGTTTTTTCAAATATGTTCTACAGGAGCAGGAATGTTAGGACTGGAGGAAGCTAAAGGTGGCCAAGCTATCTTCGAGCCGAGCAAGGTTGTGTGGAATTGGATGTCGAAGTACCATCTGGCTATGACTAACATAGCCATGGAAAGATCCACCATTTTTAAGTTCGGTAAACCATCTATTTCAATGGGCCATCTATACCATGGCTATTTTGACATAACCAGAGGGTACTTTTCACCAATTCTGGGGATCCCCAAAAACTAAAAAAAAACAAAAGACTAAAAAAAAAACAAAAAACTCAAAAAACTCAAAAAAACAAAAAAACTCAAAAAACTCAAAAAAATCAAAAAAAAAACAAACGGGTCTTCCCCCGGTCCCCCCGGTTCCCGCCCCGGGAAAGTCGCGCCGGCCCTTCGGCCTGTTTTTCGTTGAGGCTCAACTTCGCGGCGCTGGCCAAGACCATCTCAATGGTCACCGGGGCTTGGCAAAAGGTGCGGATGTGCACAAAGGTGCACAGAAACATCACGAACCTTGGTGAAAATGGTGAAAATCAACTTAAATCATCATGGATCTGCCAGCAGTTTTTAGAACCCAAAGTAGTTGAAGAACACAGAGATGAATCCCAGTATATTACACACACATATATATATAGATGTTTTTATGTATGTTTGTATTGTATTGTATTGTATTGTACCGTAATGTAATGTAATGTATGTGTTTATGTGTATGTGGATGTGGGTCAAAATGGAAGACCTAGGGGACCACAGATGTTAGTCTAGTTTAGTATTAACCATCCAATTATTGAGGTACCTAATTTTGACCCATACCCATGTGTGCATGTGTAGTAAATATGTCAGAATACGACATGTATGCAACGTATGAATGTTCACATGTTTGGTGATTCTATGCCACATGATTCAAGGGTCTGTACCTCTTCACTTGGTGACATACACTGGTTTGGGGAGGATTCCCCCAACCATCACCAGAACTATCCACAAACTCAAAAATTCAATGAAGCGAACAGTTTGTTCGGACAAAATCTTCATTCCCCTCTCAGTAATCAAACATGGCTCACCGGCAAATCCCCCATTTATAGATGATGATTCCAGCAACCGAATCTTTTTTTCGGATGTTCCAGCCACGTTTGATCGTCACCGAAGAGTAAACTGAGTAAACTATGACACCCGAGCAAATCACTTAAATCGTCCCAGGGACTGGCAGTCGAAGCGGTCCATCATGCCTGGAAAGAGAGAGTTTCCGCGCAACGCGGTGTCATCGATACCGGTGGCGATGCGATGATGCGATGGGACATCCCCGAACGAACATGAACTGAATATCTATAATCTATAAATATCAGTTATAAATCTATTATAAATAAATAAATATAAATATATATATATATATATATTATATTATATACTAGCGAAGGGTTTAAGTCACATCAGTTGGGCACAAGTCACATCAACCCCATGTAACAGCGAGTTGGAAGAAAGTCACATCAACTGGGCAAAAGTCACATCAAAATGTCAAAATCCCAATGTCAAAATCCCAATGGCACACCGGCTTTCAAGGAATGTTGTTATATCTCCAAAAATGAAGAAAACATTGCGCACAGTGAGGTATTCACATATGTTGAAACTATTTCACATATGTTGAAACTATGTTTTCAAAGGATATATTTAGGAATCACCATGGCACACGGCCTCCCAGATCTTTAACTTTGTTTCCTAACAAACATAGATTTCCATGTAATAGCTATGGGCAACATCATCATATCAACAACGTTAAAATCTGAAAACCCAGTGGCACACCGCTGTCAACATCCGCTTCCGCGTGAATGTTTCATAAGTTCTGCCTTCTGTAAACATTCCCTCTCTCTGCTGGCGTCTCCCGCCCGTATCTCCCGCCAGCGCCAAACAAGGCGACCGAGACTGTAATTTTCTTTTTCGGCAAAGTGTTTGCACCAGCTGCAGCAGCAGCAGGAGGAAGCAGCAGCAGCAGGAGGAGGAGGAGGAAGCAGCAGCAGGAGGAGGAGGAGGAAGCAGCAGCAGCAGCAGGAGGCAGCAGCAGCAGCAGCAGCAGGAGGCAGCAGCAGCAGCAGCAGGAGGAAGCAGCAGCAGCAGCAGGCGGAAGCAGCAGCAGCAGCAGGAGGCAGCAGCAGCAGCAGCAGCAGGAGGCAGCAGCAGGAGGCAGCAGCAGGAGGCAGCAGCAGGAGGCAGCAGCAGCAGCAGAAGGAAGCCGCAGCCGCAGCAGCAGCAGCAGGAGGCAGCAGCAACAGCAGCAGGAGGCAGCAGCAACAGCAGCAGCAGCAACAGCAGCAGCAACAGCAGCAGCAGCAGCAGGAGGCAGCAGCAAGGAGCAGCAAGCAAGCAGCAAGCAAGCAGCAAGCAAGCAGAAAGCAAGCAGAAAGCAAGCAGAAAGCAGCAACCAGCGTTTGCCCCGTTGAAAGAATAATGAAATATAATATAAGTTTTATAAATCAACGCAATACAAAAATTGAACTTTTTCTAGGCGCACGGCCCCAAAACAATGAAATCGTCCAATTACTAAAAGTTGTGGTGATGCCAAACTTGAACTTTTTCCAGGCGCACGGCCTCCCGATACAACTTCTACGAGCTGATACGACTTAACGCTAGGGCTAGTAGGGTCAAATAGAATCATGTCAACAAAACATTGCGCACAGCGATGAAAAAGTGTTCGAATCAATAACCCATCAAATAAAGAACTATCAAAATCTATACGAAACACTGCGCGCACGCAGGTGTGATACGACTTCAGGTCGATTGATACGACTTAAGCCTAGTGGTAGTATCAGTTATATATAATCACATCATTAATCTATAAATATCAGTATAACTCGTTATAAATCATTAGAAAAATCGATGTTTTTCATGATGTTTATGGGCTGGGAACATCATCGAACATTGGAGACATTCCAGCAATCTGGAGCTGCACCGGAGGGAAGATTTTCAATGGGAGATGCCACAAATTTTCTGGGTCAAATTGGCTTTCGTTTGATTTGGCCAAGCCTCATGAGCCCTCATTTCCGCAGAATGCTTGTGGACAGGAAGGATAATTAAGCGGCTTACCCCACATGTTCAATCAATACATATCACAGATAAGGGAAAAGGGGACTTACCCACAAATCAATCATCATTTGGGATTGTGTATATTGTAACTGCCCAAAAAATTGTCCATCATTGTCCCATAAATGATCTAATAATATCTAATACACCCATGGGTTTTGATGGATTTTGCTTGGATTTTGCTCCAATAAATCGAGGATTATCCTCGTATTTCTTCATCATATTTATTCCGGATCATGGTCAATCTTTTTTTGTTCACAAAAAATATCAAAGCTGATATCTGCTGCTTACGGTTGTTTTATATAACGATTTCCATAGCGTCTAAGACATCAATACGGATGTCCATGCTGACCGACCGAAAACTCAACGACGTCCGTCGCTTGGAGACGAACACGTTCGCCTCCGTGACCCGGAATGAGGTTGTTGAAGTCCTGGTCCGGTCTGGTTGAATTGAAATACCTTCTGGTAATTTGTTACATAGCTATTGAAAATGGTCCATTTATAGTGGATTTACCCATTGAAAACGGTGATCTTCCATAGTTTTCTGTATGTTTACCAGAGGGTATCCATGGTGAACCGTTGATAGACAAAAGATTGTCATCTGCTGGTTGGCTGGTGATGTTTCATTCTTTTCCAGTCTTTTAAAGGGGAAAAACAAAAAAGGACTAAACTACCACAGGTCCAAGGTTGGTGAATACTTCAACTCAAAAGCTATGGGGATATCAAGCCATAGATACAGTATGATACAGTCACCCCCCCGAAATTACTCAAATCTATCATGTTGGGTGGCACCATGGATGTCAGGTTCCGGCTACCTTGTTTTATAACAATATCCGTTTGATAATATCATTTCGTTTAAAAAATTACTCCTGACATGTGACTTGTCCATCAAAAATTCCATTATCATGTGTGTGTGTGCAAGGTGGGGGCCGCTATGCGATTGCCATAGTTAAGACCACCCAGTGTGAAGTTCCCATTTGGTTCTCATCGTGGCTACCTACTTGACCTACTTCCTGGTGATAAACCCATTCCCATCCCCAAAGAGGATATGGCATGGCGGCATGACAGGTTCAAAGTACCCTTGAAGATCTCAAGGAACCCATGAATCCTGGGTACCAAAATCCAACAAACCATCGGATCTTCCTTCCAAAAATCATCCCGATCCGATCCAAAATCACTTTTGACATACACATAGACATATACATATCATTTTTACATATACAATCATATTCATTTATATTCATTTATTGAAATTCTATAGTTTTTGACACATGTTCTTCTCTAAAGCCTCATTAGCCCCATCTCCCTCCCCACGCTGCGGATCCTTGATGCCGTAGGCACGTTTGATGGCGGAGGACAAGAAACCTCCGAAGGGCGCGGCGAAGGACGCGAAGAATCCCAAGCTCAAGGCGTGGATCTGAGCCTCGGGCGAACAACACCAGCACCCAGCTTTGGTGGATGATGGTTTAATGGAATTCTAATGAGTGATTTTAAGGGGATTAAAATGGGATTAACATGGGATTTCATGCGGATTTTAAGGGTTATTTTTAATGGGATTTTATGGGATAATCCACTTAACGGGACATACCCTCTGGTTGATGTAACATCGTTATTGAAGAGTGCGTTTTTTTTTCTGTAGTTGATGTACCTAAAAATAGTGATTCTCCATGCTATGTTAGTTGACCAAAGGGTAAGTGCCATTAAATCCCATTAAATCCCATTAAACCACCATTTTCCTATGGTTTTCCTATGGTAAAACCACCAACTGGTCGTCTATCCCATGAAAATCAATTCATGTGGGATCCCCTCAAAAAGCCACAAGCCACCATCCCATAAACCCAACATGGATGGAGGGCATGGTAGATATAGACATTATCCATCACTGGTTGGTGGTTTTAACATGTTTTAACCATCTCGAAACATATTAGTCAGTTGGGATTATTAGTCCCATATATTGTGGAAAAAAAAGTGTTTGAAACCACCAACCAGATCATCATTCTAATATAGAGGTACACCCAATGCTATGAACCTAGATGGGCCATGTCTTTTGTTGGCTTTACCACATGAGTTTCGGCCCAACTTTAGATACCCAGAAGAAAAAATCAGCATTAGTTTGGGCCCATCCAATTTCTTTCCCCAGCATCCGCAAACCAAGGATGACAAGATTGACAACATGTCCTGTTTTTGACTGACCCCTCAAACGAAACCATGCTTTGGGAATGGGTCTATTCGTTTTGGTGCTTTTGGTTGCTCAGTCATTGGGGTCATTTATGTATATATGGGTATGGGTCAAGTCATTAGGTACCCCATAAAATTATGGATGGTGAATACTAGTCACTAGACATTCGCATCTGTGGTCCCCTTAACGGTCTTCCATTTTGACCCACATCCCGATGTCATGGTTGTCGTCCGTTGAAACCATGCTAGCTAGACTAGACCACACGCGGAAGGATGGCCGAAGCCAGCCAATTTAGAAAAAATGAGATGGTTTAAGTTAAAATAGTTCGTTTACCACATTTCTTGATAATTCGTTTAAACATGTTTAAACTAGTTAAACCACCATCAACCACCATGTTTGTCACCTTTGACCCAACAAAAAGTCATGGTTTTCGCTGTGGTTTCACCATGGTTTTCAGCCCAACGACTTGGCAGATCTCCAGCTCGCCCAAGGCCTTCAGCATGGGCACCGAGCCTGGAAAGGGGAGGCTTTCTGGCGCTGAAGAAATGGGGATTATAGTCATTTATCCTCAGATAAATCATGAAAAACCATGGGAAAACCATAGGAAAATGGTGATTTAATGGTGATTTATCCATGATTAATGGTGATTAATGGTAATTTACCCTCTGGTAATTTGTTGCATAGCCATGGAAAGATCCACCATTTTTAAGAACGGTAAACCATCTATTTCTATGGGTCATCTATACCATGGCTATGTTAAATAACCAGAGGGTATCATCTTTATAAATTATAGTCATTTATCATCTTGAATTATGCATATCAAGTTTATAATCATGAAAAAAATAATCATGGATCTAGTTGGTGGACTCAAACCCTCTGAAAAATATGAAAGTCAGTTGGGATTATTATTCACAAAATATGGGAAAAATGTTCCAAACCATCAACCAGTGTATAAATGTATAAACCATATATCATTTATAATCCATTGAACATGGTGATTTGATAAGACTTTTATTGGGAACTTCATGAGGGTTTCATGGGGAGTTTTCATGGGATGTACCCTCTAGGAATTTAACATAGCTATTGAAAATGGCCATTTATAGTTGAATTACCCATAAAAAATGGTGATTTTCCATAGTTATGTTGGTTTACCAGAGGGTAATGGGATTACAATCCACTCTGGTTGGTGGTATACCTACCCCTCTGAAAATATGAAAGTCAGTTGGGATTATTGTTCCCAATATATCATGGACACATAAGAATCAGGTTCCAAACTATTCCAAACCACCAACCAGTAATGGGATATTGACAGAAATCGGTCAGTTCGCTATGGAAAATATGGATGCAAGTTGCCCATTTCAATTTAGTTCGCTGATTTAGCAACTAAACATGTTGGATTTATCCAGCTGCAAACTCTTACATCACCAAAGGGTATGGAAATTTTGTTGCAAACAAGTTCCAATGGGGAGAAATCATTGTTCCATCGTTTTGGGGGATTACTGAGTTACTATAACCCAGAAACATTGGGACTTACCAAGCACAGCATATGAAAATTGGGGATGATTTTGAGGAGGGCCTGCGGGATGACAACTTAACTACGCCGGATTTCATGGGGAAATTGACCCGCGAATTGCTGTAGCGGTTTTTTTTGCACGTTGAAGTGGTTGGTGGTTTCGGGGCTGAAAAATAAGGATTATTCTTCCAAATATATGGACAATTAATGAAAATTAAAACATGTTCCAAACCACCAACCAGGTTTGCTCTCGGAGAGCTTAACTTGACATCTTGACACTGAAGATTTCTAGAATCTTGAGCAAGTTTCAACAACAAGCAAATGTACTCGACATTCTTGCATCAGCCATGAGGATATCCCCATCAACCATGAAATCTGGGGAAGCATGGGGGTGACATTTGGTGATCCAGTCTAATATGTCAGCTGTTTCCACAAGGTATATCACCAAGATTTTTTCGGGTGTGCCTGAAAATGGGCCATAGCATCTATTTATGGTGCCCATTTGGTTCATAGGAACAATGCGAATCCATGAAATTCACATTGGAATTGGAGAGAGAAACCCCACCCACCACGGGGATGGGCACGAGAAGCCATGAACAGAACATGGCCCATGGCTAGTTCCATGAATTACCTCTAAAACAATGGGGGATGCCCCATGATTTTCCATGGCTATGTTAAGTTATTAAAGTGTATACAGTAAATGGGGGCGGGGTCATGCACAATTTTCTCAATTCCGGGATTACATAATAATCACTGATTCTATGGTGGTTCGGTTCAGCCCTCCAGAAAAATCTGTGCAAGTCCTGGGAGATCTCTCATCCCATTTCAATGATGATAAGAGTAATTGAAACATTGAAACCACCGACCAGCCAAATCATCAGTGTTAATTATGTGGCACTATGAGCTATGAACCACCATTCTTAGTAATATTTTGGGCTGTTGATGGGTACTACAAAGTGAGGCCCCCTAGACAGCTAAGTTAGTTTATAACTCCAATAAATATGGTTTATGAGACTTATAACTTATAACTACAGTAACCAATGTAGGTAAAACAATGTCATAAACCACCCATTTGGGAATGGTTTGAATCCCACCTATATATTTATGGTGTTTTGGGGAAATGTGTTATTATTGCTTTACCCACATAGATATATTATTGTTTTACCCACATAAAATATAGATAATCTGATTGGTGGTTTCAACCCCTCTGAAACATATTAGTCAGTTGGGTTTATTATTCCCAAACATATGGGAAAAATGTTCCAAACCAGCAACCAGTGTATAAATGTATAAATCATATATCATTTATAATCCATTGAATATGGTGGTATATGATCATTTATAATCCACTGAACATGGTGATTGGGATGATAATGGATGATAATCTGCATGGGGTTTATACCAACTCATACCTGGGGGGGCCTAATTTTGACACCCACCACCTCCGTCGCCTGCCAAGACTTCTGCCGTATGTAGTCTTGGCATCGTCTCCTTGGGATTCCGAACAGGTGACCCCAAGAAAAATATGAGGTGGTGCCCCCCTAGGTACCCTCTGGTTATGTCAAAATAGCTATTGAAACTTGCCATTTATAGTGGATTTACCCATTGAAAAATGGTGATCTTCCAAAGCTATGTTAGTTTACCATAGGGTATGTCTGTCGTTGTTTTTGTCCAATCTAACTATGTAACATACTCAAAAATATCAAGCATCCCATGGTGTAGCCAAAATCCATGTTGACTTCAAGTTGGCTTCAAAATCAAAACCAGCTATAGCAGCTATACCACATACTTCCCAAATTGCCATCTTGTCATAGTTTTTCTATGTCTTGCCCTAGGTCCCCATATCATTTACGCTTCACTCCACCCCTCCATCCCTCCACGGTTTTCACGCGTCGCCGCATCCAGGTGACGTAGAGGATCTGCGCGATGCTCTGCGGTCGATACATCTGATCCGGTTCGCAGCTCAAGGGAGACACCGTGAAGGTGATGTGCTCGGGAGCACAGGTCATCCACTTGTAACCACAGAGATGTCCTGAAAAACGACGCGGGGTAATTTTTCTGCGCTATAAATGGGGAAGCTACTAGAAATACATTAAATGCATAGGTATGGGATTGTAAAATATATATTTTATATATAGCAAAAGTTGGTGTTCAAGCTTTAGGGGTTGCCACCCACACAATATATATATATACATATATATATATTATGTGTGTGCAATAATAATCAATATCATAATGATTTACATATCGCCAACAAGGAGTAGGGAGATGTGGTCCGTGAAAGAGAAGGAACTGAAAGCACCTTTGCAAGTGCCAATGGGAGCAACGGTTCAAATTACCCCAGGCCAATCATGCATGCTGTGATCATAAGTGATTGTTCATAAAACACCGAATTATTGATTATGGTTTGGTAAGTCTTACCACCCCACCGATTACCATATTACCATCACTTACTAAATATATTTACTGAATTAAGGTAATCTTACCAATAGAACACCATCAATAACCAGTATACAACTGTCAGTCTTTCTAACCCACCGAAACCGTTCACCCAAACCATGGCCCAGTGGAGTGCGCCAGGTTCGCAAACCCCAAAAGCTAAGCGCCAGTTGTTCGCAAAGCCCAGAAGATAGCCTTTTGTAACCCACAAGAACCATCAAAAACCTGGATATGAGTGGCAAAGAAACGTATTTCATAGATTTCAATAGTATCGGGTGCATCTCTTTGGGGCTTTATCCTGCCCACATCCTGTATACGAACATCTATCACACGCCCTCCGCATGGTAAAGCCCAGCATCTTGAGAACCAAAAGGCGAAAAGCATGGTAAAGAACGCGCTCCTGAGCGACGAGCTGCGAATCGCACTGGAATCACTGGCACACACATTGCTGCGAACTGGGATGATGAAGATGGTGATTTAAGATCATTTAGGCAACACAAATGATGGTCATGATTTTCTGGTTGGTGGTTGAGCCTACCCCTCTGAAAAATGATAGAGTGAAAGTCAGTTGGGAATATGACATTCCCAATATGATGGGAAAATAAAATTCATGTTCCAAACCACCAACCAGATACAGTATATTATTATTCCAATTATTAACCATTATTAACCATAGATTAACCATAGATTAACCAGGAAAATTCCATGGTTCCAAAGCACCAACCAGTGATTTATCATGCAATTCTTCATGACATTTTTCGGAGATCAGTGGTTGCGCGGTTGCACCTCCCAAACTGAAAAACGACGCAAACCGAGGCGCCCCAGAAAGCCTTCCCAGGTCTTGTTGGGCGACAGTTCCAGGAATCTTCGCTTGATCAACTTCTTACCGAAGACCTGCAGGCGGCCAAAAGGGCATGTTGTTCGGACACTTGGCTTCAAAACCTGCTCTCTACATATATAATCATATATATATAATTATATTTAATATGTACAGTATATATATATATTAATTATATGGGAGAAAAAACATGCCACAAACTTGAAAGACACAGGTGTATGGATGGATGATATGTCTATGTTTGAGAATTGTGGGGATTGTCCACTGATTTGGGGGTGGGGTTGACATGCAGCTCTGAAACCAGCCCAGTCAACAATTGAGAAACCAGCCCAGTCAACAATTCAGTTGCAAAAGGCGTTGGGACGAATTGGAGGACACTCCTATCGAATATATTTCGAATATTCCATTGGCTGCAGCCGCTGATCTTTCTGACTTTTGCAGCTATCAAATCGTGTACTTAGTCCTTAGTAAAGGCATTTGCCTCAAGGCGTAGTACATTTCAGCTGGCCATCTTCACTAAAAACGACCTGGTACCCCTGAAAAATGTCAGGTGTGAGTTGGGATCATCCCCCCTTAAAGCACCAGATCAACCGTTGATCAACCAGATCCAGCACGCCTGACCGCAGTAGTAGGCCATGATATCATTGCAAATTACCAGCGATGATGGAAGAACGAACCAGAACAACCCCGCGTAGATGAGATGAAACACCGCCTGCGTGGACAGGAACTTGACTGGATCATCCCAAGTGATGAGCAAATATGAGCAAGCTACATCAGGATTTTTGCGAATGGCACAGCACCATTTTTTTTAAAAATTCGAATGCTGACTTTTGGGAGAATGACCAGTGACCAGTTTTGTTGCGGAGTGACAAAACTAGATGATTCGCAGGAGTGACTACCGGACAGTTATTTCAGCATATTTCAGCTATGGACAATGGCCAATTGATGATCAGTTATATACCCTACCCTATAAAAAAATGGTGTTTTCCATAGCTTCATAGCTATATGAAAAACTACCAGAGGGGCTTGTGACTGGCGACGCCCCGATCCATCCGGATCCTGGGTTTGGAAGACCACGATGCAGATCGTCACCACTGTCCAGGTGTACTGCGTGATCTGATATTTGTACAAGCCCTTTCCTAAGGTGAGGTGACCTGGGGTAGCTAAAAAAATCTTGGATTTGCCATTCAGGAACCTCCCCACAAGACATCAACAAAAACATTAAACAAAACCTGACTTTTCCCTGAATCGATTCACCAGTTTTAGTGGAAATTCTGGACTCAGCGCATCTGGGGTCATACACCCATTAAGAGTTGATTTCCCCAGCTCACAAACCTCCAAGGTAGGTTGGCTCAGACATCATGCTAAAAACATCTAGCATCAACAGATATGGCCTTTGAATCCAGAATCCAACATGTGAACCATGTCCAAAAACTATAGTTCCCTATCAATCCATCATGTGTTGGGAAACTCTGAGTAGCTCCCCCCCATTTTTCGAACATGGATAGCTCAAAACCATTCCCACTAACAGGATACCTATCCACTATGTACATCCCTTGCTGATCACCCATATATCCCATTCATATCACCCATATATCAGTTTTAAAATCCTTGCTGATCACCTCCTAGCAGCAACTCCCTGCTTGGTTAAAGAGATGGTACCCGGATAGCCATGGCTGGTGAATGGATGGTTAATCATCCCCATGTGATTTTCTACATTGCCATGTGATTTACCCTCTGGTAAACTAACATAGCTATTGAAAATGGCCATTTGTAGTGGATTTACCCATCAAAACTGATGATTTTCCTTAGCTATGTTAGTTTACATGTGATTTGCCCATATTTACCCATGAAAAACATGTGATTTACCCGCTGATATCCCCATGATATCCCCATGAAATCCCCATATGCCAAGTCTCTGAGGCTCAGGACGGAGACCTTGGAGCAGCTTTCCGAGCTCTGCAGCTGACATCCGAAACCATCATCTGACCATATATATATATATATATGCTACCCCCCCCCAAGACCTACATTTTTTGTATTAGGTATGTCCTTGGCTGCCTTGTCTTTCTTCTCATCTTCTCACCTATTGCAACACTGCATCAGGAAAGTAGCTTGTGCGCATGCACCTGGACACATCTCGCCCACATATGTAGCTGTAGCATAGCACATGTGAAGAAACTGACCACGTAGGTGCATGAACACTGAGAGCACCTGGGTGGGTGGGAAAGGACAAGCAATACACTAGACATTTTGTGTACCAGATATGTCCTTGGCTGCCTTGTCTTTCTTCTCATCTTCTCACCTATCGCAACACTGCATCAGGAAAGTAGCTTATGCGCATGCACCTGGAAACATCATAGCACATGTGAAGAAACTGACCACGTAGGTGCATGAACACTGAGAGCACCTGGGTGGGTGGGAAAGGACAAACAAGACACGAGACATTTTGTGTACCAGATATGTCCTTGGCTGCCTTGTCTTTCTCCTTATCTTCTCACCTATTGTAACGCTGCATCAGGAAAGTAGCTTGTACGCATGCACCTGGACACATCTTGCCCACATATGTAGCTGTAGCATAGCACATGTGAAGAAACTGACCACGTAGGTGCATGAACACTGAGAGCACCTGGGTGGGTGGGAAAGGACAGAGAATGTATTGCTTTGGATGCATGAGCCCATGTGTAGCATTATCATAGCGCATAACTCAATTGGACCGAGGAACAACGAGACACCAATCGAGACATATTCCATGAAGAAGACCTGGCAGAAATTGGATCAAAAAGAAGCTTTCGGCACGATTGTGAACACGGAAGACCCGAAGCAATATATTGCAATGCATTTTTCCCCAAAGCTCTACGGCTCACTTCTTGCCCATAAGGCGCTTTGCGGCCCATTGGCACAGAGATCCGGTCGCCACCCATGTCTGCATTTTTGTACCAATACTGATACTGAGCAGATCGGAGTTTGGATCTCAGCAGGCTCGACCCGGCTTTTGTATTTTGATTAAGGCTGAGACGCTCCTTTAAGAAACGCCAGCAGCGGTCAATCACTTGGGTGCCAGCTTTCACACGGATCTTTTTATTTGTGCCTGGAAGCTTGTGTTCCACTACTTTGACATATCGTGGCGCCTGCCATTTCCATTTGCCGCGTACTTTCACGCGTTTTTTGCAATGGACTACTCGATCGTGCAACACCCCTGCAACACGGACCCTATAACTCTTGGCAGAATCCGTGTGCAACACAACCTTTCTGTTCTTCAGCCAATGGTCAGCAAGGGGACGCCACTCGACTTTGCGTACTGCACCGGGTCCCGGTGCACGTGCATCTGTACGAACAGGCTTCAGACGATGCAAGACCAACGACTCCGGCTTCCCTCGCTGAACAATACCACACCATTGTTCCCACTCAATTGGCTTCTTGGTGTTGCCCAGCTCTGACACATCAGTGATAGTCTTCTTGTCGAATGTAGTTTCGTCTGCGTCGACATCCTGCCACGCTGCTCCGTTGCCGAAGACAATCTCTTTCTCCTTCTCCTCCACATACTCCTTGCGTAGTAAAGCCAATCGCTTGTCCAAGTCCTCGATGGCCTTGTGATTCACATGCATGAGCCTGTGGATGGTGGAGTTTGGAATGTTGTTGATTTTGAGAAGTAATAGGGCAGCCTGAGTCTGCAAGGGGCTACCTGCCACACCATAACCTTCTGTAAACAGATGGTGCAAGTGATGCGGATTGAAGTAGACCTGGCACCCCCTGGAATTGCAGCGAAGCTTAGGGGATGAGTCACCAGGCTTCTGCACCCAACCGCGTAGCTTTCCCTTCTCACACCGAGGACAAGTTTTGCCACGCCAATCAGGCAACAAGCCATCCTGCATCAACATCTGCACGATCCCCTTGTCGGTCGCATGGAGGATGTCTGGCAAGGACCTCTTCCACTTTGTCTGGTCCATGCGAAGACCCCGCGGACCAACATCCGCAGCACCCCTTGTATACGGTACATTCTGCCAAGACTTTGCCTTCGTCTTCTGAGAAGCTGGGTGTTTCAAGACCATACGGGGGTTGCCCTTCTTTGGTGCCGGGAATGGATTGAATTTGGAACGCATAGCGCAATGGCCTTGAGTGATGGCTATATGGAACACAAGAGTTGAGCTGTATGCTGCAGTGCAATATGCATGAATGGATGCTCGCTTCGCTTGCAATTACTTGTGCTTCGATGGAGACAGCGGACCTTGATTGCACAACACCGACAACATAACCTTTTCGTGCGATGGCTATGTTCCTTTTTTTCTTCTCCCCTCGGACACGACTTCGCAAGTCTATCTTGCTATTGTACGAATCTACTGCATTCGAATTATAGGCTACTTGTCTACATGCCATTCAGTCCCATGTAGTGGGCTGCCTCTTCATCAGCCTCTAAATCCATACTCTTCGGTTCCTCAGGCTTCGCTTCCATGGGATCTTGGTATGCAGCTTCTGCATCCTCAGCCAACTCCTCAATGTGCTGCGATGGTGGTGGAGAAGTCTTGGCCCGTAGTCGACGATCGGGATAGACGAAATTGCCACGGCGACGCCCCGAGGGTTGAGTGCCAATGGGAGGCACAGGGCAGACCACATCCATATTGGCTTCTGGAGTAGAAGGGCAGGATGATGGTGGCACAACATGGGCACTGCGGAAAAGAAGTTTGTCCTGAAGCTTGTGGTTCACATAAGCAACATAATCCTGCAGGTTTTCATATCCTGCAATCTTCTGAAATCCTTCCTCCAAGATTTCCTGTTCCTGGAGAATCTCTGCATCAAAGTTTGATCCAGTCTCCATCGTACCTCCCTTGTACTTTCCATACAAAGGTTTGTCCCGCTCACCTAGCAAGTCAAGATGCACGTCCTCCAGGCAAATCCGATGCACAATGGCATCTCTATGTGCACTTGGCAAACGAAGGTAGAGAGCGTGGTTGCCGAACATGAAGACAATGGAGCGTTTCAGTACTGCCAAGACATCTTTCTCTCTGTCACCGCGGAAGAATTCATCAAGCAAGCTAAAGAAGTTGGCTTCAGAAATCACTGTGTCACCCGCATTGCAATCAAATCTTTCTTCTGCCAAGTCATTGGACGCATAGGCCCTCATTTGATTCCGTAACATCTTGGTATCGTTGTACCTGGACTCAACCGTTCCATCCTCATCACATGTAAGGAAACTCTTCAGGTCGGCTATGCACACCTTGCTTCGATCGGGGTCGTCTAGAAAGAGAGCCTCTTGAACCTGAGGGGCTTTGTGCCTGAAGTTGTCCAGGGATTTGGCTCGGCGCCAACCAGCCTTCAGGCCTTCACATCCAGATCGACGAAAGTGGTAACGACCAAGCGCCATTGCCAGAGTGATCACAAAGGGCGTTTTCCCCACACCAGGACAACCCAGCAGCAAGAGGCCAAAGTTGATGAGCAGTGGATACAAGTATGGTAGCAAGATAGTGTGCAAGAATGGCTTCAGGCTATAGGTTGTGAGGGGAAACTCGGTCATACTCACAGCACCTCCAAGCCCCTTGCTTTTGTTTTGGCACATTTGCCGTACCTTCGCCTCCGGCCATCCTGCAATAGGTGTGCTTGAGTCAGGCTTGATGTTGAGCAGGATCCACATGTGTTTGCTCGTTGAGAGCGTCACATTCTGGGGCAAATGCATTGATATGGTAGATGCCTTCTTCCAGCTCAGACCTTGATGGTGACCAGGTAGGTTTTGAGGAATGCTCCGCCTGGGTCTTCTCTTCAAGGGCAAACCATCTAAGTTGATACCCTCCTAAATGATTGAGAAGCCACTGCACTCCCTTTTTGATGTTCCAGGGCCCCGATCTAAAGACTGGAATATAAGCTTTCCCACTGCACAAAGCTTCGGCAGCTTGAAAGGACATCGGACGTGGCAGATAGAGCACTTTGAGAACATCTACGTTTCCATTCGCCATGGTCACATGCACGAAGTCCATTTTGGTTGTACTCGGAGGAGTGCCTTTGAAACGGATGGGTTCAGGTAAATCATCCCATCGATATTGCATAGCGATCTGGCCAATGTCGACTGGTTCGCCACATGAGGGTATGTCATTGTGGAAATCAAAGAGAACTGTAATGGATTTCACACCCTTTTGCAAAGGTCTGCACGCATCAGTGGTGAATCCAATGCATGTGATGGGCTCTTCCACTTCGACAATCCCACATTTGGCTTCTTCCAAGGGTCGTAGATATAACGGTTTCTTTCCAATGCTTGGATTGCCTTATCCATCAATGTTCCAGCCATTGCAATCAAAGGGGAGCACGGCGCGGTGCACAAGACAAGACTGGGGCGGACAGGTTTGGGCTCATGTGACACAGCAGAGAAGAAATACGAGAGTGACAAGAATCCACACATGAATTGAATGTTGAATGTCAACTGCCAGCATGTTCAAAACAATCAGACCTTCCCAAGTACTTTCGCTGCCACACGTGCATGCCAAGGACATATCTCTAAGTATGTATACATATAATGCTAAGGCTCAAGGCTCTAGTGCCAGACTGCTTTTCTTTTCAGTGTGCATCAAGCGGACACAATGAGAGATACATCTTTTTCAACCCGCATGCCCTTGTCTCAGCGACATCAATCGGATGCCATTTCATGATCAGAAGAGTCAGGAGACGAAGCTTCAGCAGCCAAAGATTCATCCATATCCATAGGGATATCCGCGGCGTTTTCCGGCTGTAGCCGGCGCCGCGAAGCGGCATTTTCCTGAGACAGCCCTGCGATGATCTCATTCTGCTCCTCAATCTGAGCGGTTGCCTTCGCAAGCTCGCAAGAGGTGTGATGCAATGCCGAGAAAATCCCCTCAAACTCCTCTTTCCATTTGATCACTTCCTTGCTTTTCTTCTCGAGTTCAGCATCTGCCTGATGTTGTGGACCTTCGGAAGATGATGAATCCGAATCGGAATCGGATGTGGAAGACGAGGATGCTGGCTTCTTCTCTTCCAAAGTGGAACTGGAGGATGATGGCTTCACATCTTCCAAGGCCAATTGCACAGTTGCAGTGCTCCTTTTCGGATTGGCCAGTAAGTTTTCTAAGCGCTGCTGGGCATCTGCGCTCCATTCACCATCACCTCCCGGACGCAGGCGCAGTTGCCTTTGAATCGTGCCCATCATAGTCGTCAGGTCTCTCTTTGCAACTGGATGGCGGCTGTCATGAACCTTGACTGTTCCTGCTCCGATTTTTTCCAGGAGCTGAGATGTTGACGGTCGAGTCATGGTCACTTTGATGTCAGGCTCTGGTGTCAATGTCATGATGGCCTTGCCTTGCGATATATATATATATATATATATATATGTATATATACACTATATAACATCCCCCAAATCCCGGAATCCAAAATTACATACCAAAAATAGCAAATTTTACTGTAAATACCAGTACTTTTGTGAAATTGGTAGGTCTTGGGGGGGGGTACCATATATATATATATATACATATATATGGATATGATATATATATATGGATATATATATATATATATACATATGGATATGTGTGTGTAAAGGTATATATATATACATAATATATATATATTATGTAGATTCTTCAAAGATTATCATGGTGAGCTAGGGATGGGTCAAAACTTATTACTATCATATGACTAATTTATAATGGATAATTGGAGGGAACGGCTCGCTACAGCTGGCACCTTCGTCCTAGCCCAAGCTGCCATCAACAAAAGGGTATAAAGCGAAAAGGACACCATCATGTTCTTCTCGAGAATCAATCTCCTTGGTTAAGCGTCTCTTGTGGGTAGGGCAGGGGAAGGTATGCTTGACATTTCACGCACCTATGACCGGTACAAGCCTGCGTATGCATATATATAATATATATATATATATATCAATCTATTTATTTATATAATATATATATATATAAATAAAAAAAAAACATCATCAACGATTTTCATCTTGAAATTGAATATAATTGATGTTTTTGTCAGATTCTCAAGTTAGGCAAAACAATCAAAACTACCCCAGTCAACGGCGTCACGGCAAAACATGAGCTGCATGGGATGGATCACTGGAGGTCCACTAAGTAAGTCACTAGGCAGGCGCCGAGAGGCAGATGCCGATAAATCAGGTACAGTATGGTTTAAATAGCATGTTACAATCCAGGAAAAACAAGCCATCTACTAACTCTCATGATGATTCATAATTAAGTAGATATAGATATATGATATAGCATCTTATATAAATGCGCCTTCTATATAACCATTTATGCCATTTACGAATCTTAAGATATTTAATCCAGAAGCACCTGACGAGAACAATGGCCAGCGTCGCAGTGGAGTGGGAAGACAGAAATCTGGGGTCGCTGGCCACGAAGTCACAGATGCTGCCAGACCAGGTGAAAAAGGATGCCACCTGAACAGCAGCGAGCAAAGATGATGGGTTGGTTACACACAGATTGGGTGTTAAACGATGTCTTATGGCCTAAAAGTGTATTTTCAGGTTTCAGCAGGGGTTATCTTATAATCCCAAGTAGACTGATAAACCTAAAATCCGTTAAGCAAAGCAGCTCTAACAGCACCTTTTCCGTCTGAGCCGCACAGCTGTCATACATTCCTATGATACATGTGTGTTTTATGTGAGGTGCTTTTACACCCCCCTCAGGTGAGCCGGTTACGGCGAGGATGCCACAATCCCGGGCGAGGTTTTTAAACCTGCCTCACCGAACTGGCTCTTTGCAAACCCAAGGGAAAACACAAACAGCGGCTATGATACAAAAACCGATCGTCGATGCAAGCAGTTTCACAACTTATCCCTCTTCCCACTCAACTCGGCCATGCCTGATGACTTTCTCGTACCAGCGCCCATGCCACTTCTGCCATTCTCCAGTGTAACGGCGATCATCGTGGGACTGACTTTGCTGAGGGCGGTTGATCCACTGACTTGCAGACGTTGATGATGAAGCTACCTCTACGGTGGATGTTCGGGCAACCGGTTTGGCGGTGCCTTTCTTGGAGGGACCCTGGCCGTACGCACCAGTCTGCTCAGCTTTGCGCTTGGCCTCGTTCTGTTCGCGAGCCCTGTCAGACTGTTTCTTCTTCTCCGCAGCGTTCTGCTTGTACAGCTCCTCGTTTTGTCCCTTAATCCACCTCAAATGACGTTCAGCATCATGAACAGCGATGTTGTCAACGCCAGTACAAGACAACAAAAGGTTGTGCTGGGGATCCCGGTTCAGGTAGTCAATGTACTCTTCCTCGGAGTAGATTTCCGTCCGGTACATGTAGAACCATGGCTGGTCGATGTACCTGAACGACTTCGGGACGTCAAGACGGCTTGCCATATCCAAGTAAACCAGCCTCATAGCATTGTGCTCCAGCTGAGATTGCTCAGAAACACCCATCTTGACCTGAGCCTTGGTACGACCTGGCTTCGGCAGATGTGCAGACTTGAGGAGGTCGTACCGTTCACAATCGTACTCGTTCTCCCCCTCGTTCAGCACACTCTCTGCGAATGTGGCGTCCTGGGCAAACCTGTCAGCCACAGACACATAGCCCAAGCTCACGGCACGGTCGAATCGACTCTTTGCCCTTGCCAATAGACTGGCTTCAGGACTCGAGCTTCCTCTTGCCTGGTCGTCCAACAAACCCAAAGATTCAAGCTGACTGTGTGTGATGCTCTGCAGGTACTCGCCACGAAAATCATAGTACAAGCCCAGCTTGTGAAGGGCGGCCTTCCTGCGTTCTGCAATCTTGGTTCGGTCGGCCTTGTTCACCCCTTCGAGCATCAATCCACACACATCGCATTCAATCTGTCCCTTGAAAGTCTGTGCAAAACATCTTGAACATTGCGTGACTTCAATCTTGACCGGCACCGGCTTCTTGTCCTCCTTCTTCACCTCTTTCTTCGAAGGTTGGTCATCGCCTTTAGGGCGAGACTTCTGCTTTGGCACCAGTGACTTGGATGTTGATGCCGGCGTCTTTTTGGGTGACTCTGCAACTGGCTTTTGGATCTTTCTGTACTGCCTTTGGCGGTGCAACTTTTGATACAGGCTCCAAGAAGGCCGCAGCTGATGATGCCGCAGGCACAGCTGCGGGCACGCTTGTCAGGGCTGCCTTCTTCTTTGCAGGTTCATCCTTTGCTGCTGCATCAACTTCTGAGGTCACAGCTTTTGGAACTTCTGGTGCATGAGGTGCAGAAGTCCCTTCCTTCGGTGATGGTTTTGGAGGTACTTTCGGCGGTGTCTTTGGGCTTTCAACCTTTGCTGCAGGAGGCTTTGGAGCTTCACCCTTCGGAGGAGGGGGCAACAATCTGCTGCTTGCATATCCAGGCATACCGGCAAGTTGGGCCACATTTGGTGGCGGAGGCTTCACCTTTCCTGGGAAAAATGCCGTTGCAGTGGGCGCGCCAGTTGAGGCGGCCGGAGACTTGGAACCAGCCCGTGTTGATGCCTTGGCCTCAAAGGTCTCGACAAGCTTCTGGACTCCAACTTCTCCCCCACTGCTCGCTGCAGACTGTGCGACCTCCTGATGGCGACGATACAAATTCACCTTCTTGGCAGTGTCATCGACAGAAATAATGTATTGCGGCGGGACGACGTCACTTGTAAGAATGCCGTCGGAGGCTGTCCTGAAAAACACAATTCCAGCTTTGACAGCTTCAGCCATTGCGACCCTGATTTCAATGGGTCGTTCAGCACGCAAACCGCTCACATACTCTTTCTCGTCGACACGCACTTCGCTAAAATAGGAGTGTGCTCTGCCTGATGAATTTCGTTCTCCTCCTCCAGCCACGAAGCCATTCTCAATGATGCCCTTCCAATTGCCTTTTGTAGTCCTGTGATAAACTACGCCAGGGCACATCTGAGGAGTGGTAATCTTTTTACCTTTGGCGTTCATTTTCTGGATCGCTGCTGCTCCAGACAGAGCATAGATTTCCACTGCATTGAACGTGTCCTCAGCCGAGGCGGCATCCATGGCACGTTTTGTGTGCCCCTGCACTGCACGGATCCTGATGGGCCAGTAGGCTAACCCTTTACGGGTTGCCTTCTGGTACCCGGCAATGCACTGGAACTCAAAACGGCACTTGCTGTCCCAGTAGAGAAGGGAAATGAGCTCTTCAACTGTCATTCGGGGCAACTTGGCTGGCAGCATTTGGTTGAACATTCGAAAGAAGTCATCAAGATCAAGCCACATGTTTTCATCGAATCCAGAGGTGTCCTGACCCGGCTGTCCACGCGTCACAGCATTGACCTTGGTCTTGTGTCGGTCCATGCGATCTGGGTACCTCAGCTCCTTTGCCCCATCCATCTCCCAACAGGTTTTGGTGATCAATTCGTAGGGATGGGAATCAACGACACAATGTTCAACTACTTCTGCATTGATGTTTTCGTCCAACGTGATACGATATTTGTCAAGGTGTCCAAGTGCATGTTTCGGGATGATTGACCTCGTTCTCTTGCAGGGGCTCACCAGTTGAGGTGGCCTGAGTTGAATCCTCCTGTGTCGCTGGAGCTTTCGCCTTGGGGTCAGGTGGAGCTGCGTGGCTGGCCTTCGCCTTGCCCACCGATGGGCCCTCATGCTCATCGGGATCCAGAGCATCCCATGGGTCGCCTTCCTCATCATCATCTTCGGCGACACCAGCGTCAGTCGGGCGATCTCTCAACTCCTCTGCTGTGAAGCTTTCTGGGGTCGAGACGCTCGGTGCAGATTTGTTCGTCTTCTCCCGGAGAGCGTTGAGGACCTGCACAAACCTGACTGGGAGGTGCTCCATCTTTGGTGGGACGTCACGCATTGTAGCCTCTCCTGCAGGACGCCTGCGCTTGTACAAAGACAGGTTGTACTGGGGCACCAAAATGTCCGTCATGTGCAACATGTGGAGAGTTGCCATGACATATCCGATCATTTCACTTCGGTTGAGCTCGGTCTCGAATGCGTGAAAGTAGTCCCTGAGCTCAAGCCTTGGTGGAAGCCTGTCATTCTGAATCCACCGGATCCGATCGTTGTCACTGGCAATCTCCTTGTGGAACCATTCCTTCAGTCGCTCCACAAATGTGGTGAAGATGAGACTCAATCCATAAGTGAGCGGGTCGGGCTCGCCGATTAGGGCGGCCTGATCCACTCCCAATTCTTTGAGCTGATTGTTCCACCACACGATGTTGCCTTTGACCCTGTCCATGATGGCATTCCAGTCGCCCTGTGGTTCCCTCTGCCCCCAAATGGGGAGGGGTTCAACACCATATTCCCCACAAATTTCATTCCCAGACCAAAAGATTACCGAAATAACCCTGATGGCTGATCCATGAGAAGAATATTTCGCCATCAGCTCCTTGATCATGGAAATATTTGCTTTGCAGAGCTGTTGCAAATCCTTACCCCAGAGCATGTCATGACCGATTTCGAGAACCATGTCCGACTTTCGCAATCCCAGATCCTCCTTCAAGGTGTACTTCTTCAAAGTCTTACCCTTTCCAGTGATCAGAGCCAAAGTTGAATCGGAAGTCACCACGTAGATGGTGGGCACGACGTCTACCGCCGGCCTTGATGTCCCAGGGACGTACTCAGTAGGCAAGTTCAGATCCCACAGCGAGTCATGCTCAAGCTCGGACAGATGGCGGATCTCCTTTGCCCACGGCACATTTGTCAGGGCGTCAGTTGCCATGGATTGCGCAGTGAAGCATTGCATGAATCCTGCGGCAAGCTCAAGGTCTTCTGTCCTGTTGCCTTGCGCCAGGATCGTTGACGAAGCGAGGACCGTAGAAAAGATGTCCTCCCACCCTGCGTGCCTATCCCCCTGAACATCAAGGCACTTCCGAAAAGCAAGCCACTCCGACATGTTGCTTTGTTGGGGCACGGTCTTTAAACCGGCCGACTTGAGAGCCCGCACGTTCATCTTTTCAGTGATCGACAAATTTGAATCATCAGAACGGCGGCTCATGGCGGGCAGAGCTAACCTTTTCCTGTTCTTGGCGGTTTGTGCCTGGTTAGCTCTGGAACGAAAACAATCATGGATGAAATCAGTCAACTTGAATGTGTAGTTCTCTGCAAGTTTCAATGCAGTACCCCGGCTTTGACCATGAGTGTGGGAACCATCACAAACGTATTCCGAAAGACTTGACAACTCTTCCATGTTTGTTGCAATCATCCAACCCTTCTTCATGGGGTTCCCGTCCAAGTCAATAACCCCAAACTGGCAACCGTGGAATGGATACAATTTCAACTCTTGTCTCTTCAAAAACGATTGGACCATTGGCCATTTCCAATACTTGCAGTTCTTTGAGAGTTCAAACGCAATTGAAAGATGTGGCCCATCGATTTCACTGATAACCTTTTGAAGTGATTTGAAAAGTTTTGTAAATTCCTTTTGTTGCTGTTCGATTCGTTCAGCCCCTTTGTCAGTCAAACTGTTGATGTAACCCCATGGACTGCCGCCCACACATGGCAAGGAAGCGTAAAGCAAAATCTCACCCTCTGGATTACTTTCCCTGAAAGACTGGACTTCTTGGGCTAGCCATTTACGGCAGCCTTGGGTGGTGCCATCCTCGTTTTCAGTTACTCGGATAAGTCTACACCCTTTACTGGCTTGCCGTGGAGTGCATAGCTTCGAATCAGATGAACAGCAAAACTCAATCAACATCCTTTGGAAAGAATTTGAACCATCACGTCCCCCCTGATCGTTGGCATTAGCTGGACACGCAGGCTTGGAGTCTACTTGGCGCACCTTCGGCTTGTCGGCGTCGATCCAAGTCTTTCCAATGGCCATCAACCTCAAAGCATGTTCCCATTTAGTTGGGGAAGTAAAAGGTTTTGTAAGGATGTCAGCTGTCTGCCAATTGGTGCCAACATTAATGAGGTCAAATTGTTCCTCCTCAAACTGCTGTTTCATCCATTTAAAACAGATGTTCTGAGTTTTGTTGGCGTACCGCATGGTGGAGGAATTACCGGTGCCCATCACAGTTATAGAAGCCTGATTATCTTCCATGAACTTCACTTGATAGAACTCCGGAAAATGGGCCTTCAATCCATTGATATTTGCCGCAGAAAGGCCCCCTTCAACATTGCCATACCTGATTTCATCGATCTCTTTATCGATACGAGTAAAAACAGGATCACTTTGTTCGGGGATGTTTGGCTTGGGGTTTGACCCAGCCTTCTGCGACAATTTCTTGAAAATGCCCAATTGCTCCAACAACGCTAACATTGGAATCCCTTCTGCTCTGAGTGCGTGATTGGCTGACACGGCTTCGGCTTCAGTGGACGAGTTTGCTACAACTGTCTGCTTCTGGCTGAATGCATTCAAAGGGAAATAAGTGTTTGGCCCCACAAGAAACATGGCACAACCTGAAGTTGATTTTGAATCATGTTCCCCCGCATGATCAGCGTCAGCAAATAGCCACAGTTGACAATCCTCAAACGAGTCTCCCACAAAACCCTCCATAAAAACATCTGTAGTTGACTTGATGTATGATACCAATCTGTGCAATGCAATATCGCACTCAATGGACCATTTCGTCACCCTAGATGCCAAGCTTTGAGTAGCTCTTAAGAGATCTGGGCGTGCCATACGGGCCGCAAAGAGAATCTTCATCAGGACCTTCGATGCAATCGGCTGCAACCTCCCTGGCTTCTCCTTCTCATCGAGAGTTGGCCGGGCTATTCCCGCTTCTGTGAACGGCGTTGCAACCACTGGCAAATCATCTTTCTGAACCTTTGCCAGTTCACAGTATGCATCTACACATGATTCCATGAAAGAAGACATGTCGTACCTTACCAGGTTTACAGGTTTGTTCATGCAACCGGACTTGTTTGTAACGACACTCTCAATGCTTTTGAACCGTTGAGATTTCTTCTCATTCTTGGCTTCCCTTTTGTCTCTGTGCGGACCGGGTCTGTTCTTTGATGGGAGGGCAAACTGATTAGTGTTGCCATACTCGTCACCGTACCTGAAGATTGTTCTTCCTGTCCAGAAGTCCTTTGTCTGAATCTTTTGATCCACTGTCATGTCATCTTCAACAATAGCTGAACTTTCATCTGACATGTGCATGTTGAGAACTGGGAGACCTTTAAATTCAACATTTTTGTCGAACATTGTAACCCGTTCTGATGCAAAGACTTGACAAACTCCCCCCCCTCATCGCCAGGCTCGAACAACTTCTTCCGTGGCTGGAGATGATACCTTGTCCAAGTTTTGTTGAAGGGGTCATGTTGCCAAAAATCATTTGTTCGATGTTGTGTACGTGACGCAGCAGCCGCCTGAGAATCAAAAACATGTGCAAAAGGATGAGCTTTTCGTGGTAGTGTAACGTTGTTAAACTCCACATGTTGACAACCGAAATATCGATCATAGGGTTCGGGGTCACCAATGTTGACTGCTCGTTTGATGCTTGCCCATGCTTTGTCCATGTTCTCAGTGGGACCTGCGAGTTTGAAATCATCCACGTAAACAACCAACATGCAATTGTATTCAGCATGATAGAAAATACTTTGCCATACATCAGGGAGAATTTGTTTCCAACCTTCTTTTCCGATTCTGCTGTTGAGATGGTTTTCCCAAATACCGCCACTGTCTGGATGCCCGTACAAAGCTAATACCAATGGAACCATGGGTTGCCAGAATTGCTTTTCCCAGTGTTCTGGCCATCTGTTCCGTGGCAATGATAGCCATGTGGGCACCCCAGTGAAGAGGGCCTGGATGTAAGCTTGAATGGCGTCTGCCTGAGCTTTTGAAAATCCGGGCTGAGAACCAAACGCGTCAAGAAGCTTTGCAGCTTCCATCGAAGCAGGACTGCTACCTAACTCGGCAAACAACGCGTGATCAGAATCCTGGTCGCGGACATTGTTACCCTGGAAAACTGTACGGCCCTTGAATTTCCTACGAGGATCATCAGCTGGAAGTTCCGACCCCTTTTCGTAGCAGGCTTCAAAAATACGACCAAGATGTACAGTTTCCCCTTTCTTGCGGGCTTCATCAACAATGCTTTTACATTCCTTGACTCTGGATTCGTCCCATACTCCTTTTGTCCTGAGGTTCTCCCACTCCTTATCTAAGGCAGCCTTTGCTTTGGGGTTTTTCCTAACCTCATCTTTGGGAACCAAACGTGCAACAGCAGAAAACAATTCAAGAGCCACTTTGAATTCCAACTCTGCGATCTTGTTCTTGATCATCTCTCTCAATTCCGGGCGATGCAGTTCAGCTTTTGCTGGAACCGCTTTCGGCATAGCAGGGACACAAAACTTCGGTCTATCCTTTGGAATGACCTCCCATCTTGACACACTAGGCTCACCTGAGGGGCTAGGGTTTACCCGAAGCTTTCTTGCAGTTGCAACCGCACCTTTCTTCTTCTTCGGACCCTTTGATGCTGAGCTTGATGCAGCACCGCCGCTGCCAACAGCCATCTTTTCAGCCTCCTCCTCAACGAGCTTCTGCCTATCCTTCGGACTAAGCATTTTCCAAAAATCCGATGGGATCGACTCAGGGCGTTTTGACCCTTTGTACGTTTTCACAAGGCGTGTGCCGTCCCAATGATAACCATCCGGGATTGGTGTTCCAGTTGGAGTGTACTTGATATCAGGAAAAACTGGTTCCTCAGCCGGCCTTTCATCACTGGCAAGTGCGTCAAGCACTGCCTCCGTTGACTTGTCAATTGCTTCTTCACTTGCTTCTGCATGTTCCTCTGTTTGCAGTTCGGATTGAAACGGGATCGGACGAGGATCAGCAATGACATTGTCAGCAAGACGGTCCGGCTTGGGCTCTTTGGCCTCTTTCAATGCACGGAGTGGGAAGACAAAACCTCCCGCGATGAGCTCAACACGTCGTGCTCGCTGCACTGTGATGCTGCCCGTTTCTGCATGGTAATCCAATGCTTCTAACTTGGCAACAAGATACTCACCCTTCCATGCAAAACCAGGTTGAATATGGTATCCCAAAAAGATTCCATCATTTGCAGTTGGTGATGTCTTTCCAGATGTGTTGTCAACCCTTTTTGGATTGTTCCAAAACAGTATCTTTGCACCGAAAGGAATCAACTGACCTGGAAAGTCTTCTTCGAATCTGAGTTTCCATGGGGCGTCATCACCGTTGAGCTGTGGCGTGGTATTCACTGCCATGGAGAAATGCTGCATAGCCATTGGCCAGTACTGCAATGGAAGACCTGACTGCACGAGGTTTGTGCGTGTGCCTTCAAGCATATGCCTGATCTCCCTCTCCACGAACGACTTTGAACTGTCCACATACTCTGTTGACGTTTGATGTCTGTACCCCAACTCTGAAATTGTAGCAATAAGTTCTCGTGAGTTGTCAGTGTAAACTGCCCCAACTTCATCCTTGTGAGATAAGAAATGGTTGAAAGCATTGACACATGACTCACTCGATTTGGTCTGACTTGGATAGACGTGCCTGAACTGAGTGTGAATGTCCTTCATCACCAATGCCACTGTTTCACCTTTGACGCCTTCTTCCACATTGGATTTGATTACAGTATGGTCAGCGACAATGTGATCCCCAAAACTTTTGGTTTCCAATCTTTTCTGTCCCCCTTTCTTCTTTGCGGGTGGCGCCATCGTGCGCGCCTTCTGACAGATCTTGCAAAATGGATTCTTGGGGTAATGGCAAAACTGGTGAGATTTGCTGCATGCCTCTTGCTCAAGGTCAGATGCCTTTCTAGACCTGATGTACTCGGTTTCGCTATCATGAGCTACTCCCTCATCCACGCCTTCTTCATCGGCACCTTCTGCTTTTGCAGCAACCATTGCAAAAAGACGTAACAAATCACAATCTTTCTTGAACTGTCCACTTTTCAAAACACGACAAGAGCTATCAATAACCGGCACGCGGCCGTCCACATTGAGCTCGATGACTCCCATATCCGGACGAATGAAGTAAGGCCTACCATCAGCTGGCCACACAAAACTGTAGCCCTGTTCCATACATCTGACCCCAACTGAAAGAACAGCAGGAGTTTCCTCAAGAATGTATGGTGAAAATGGCTGATGTAGGGCATCGACCTTTACGTCGGCCACCTCATCCGCTCGTGTCGAACCGTTTGCTGTAGCAAGGCTGATCGGAGTATCGCTGACACGGCGGTTTGTCGCCTTTGCGGTCTTCAGCATACCCTCACTGATCAAATCCTGTTCACTGCCCGTGTCAACCAACCAAACACATCCATCTTTTGATGCCGGTGTAGCAACGGTGGGCAAATGAGTGTTACTGACTTTATTCTTGGGACCGATCATTGCTCTACAGTGGTTGCATGATACTCCCCCTTCTGGGTCATTGCATCGGAATCGGCATTTGGGCTGCGTCTCACTGCCGAAGAGCTTCACAAGTTCCTGCAACTGTCGGGCCGAAACCTGAGCACGGTGAGCGATGAGTTTGTCGGGTTTTGGCACTGACTCTGAATCAGGGAACGTCTTCTCATAGATTCGGGGTCTGTGCACTACCTTTCTCTGTTCACCTGTTGCCGGGACTTTGATGTATTCCACTTTTGATGAAAACACAACAGCTCTATGGCATTGTTCTTTCATGGCCTTTGTAGCTTTCGGCAACCCTTTTCCCTTTGCTATGCATGCATACCTTTGAGTAATGCATGGCGCAGCTTTTGCACTGGCCTTCTTCTTTGGTGCAGGGCTATTGGTGCGTTTTGGATCCTTTGTGGGTGCAGCTGCAACTTCATGTTTGTAAAAACACTTGTCACCACGACGACATTTGCCCTGTTGGAAGTAAGTGCATGGGATCTTGGCCATCTCTTCCTTTGACTTTCTGTTGGGGGAACCACTTCTGCTACCGCCTTTGCCCTTACCCTTCTTTTTGGGAGTGCCAGATCTTGAGGAATCCTTGACATGCTTGTAGGGACAGTCTTTACCCTTTTCGCACTTGCCATCCCTGAACTTGTAACATATCTTATCCCCTTTTCCACTCTGGCTACGACCACGGGATCGACCTCGATCACCCTTTCCTTTGCCGCGATCTTTGCCCCCCTGAGCGGGTGCAGCGGGCTGAGGCTTTTCGGTCTGTTTGTTCTTTTCAACGATTCTGTTTCTGTTTGAACGGAGTCTTTCTCTATCCAAAAGATCACGAATGTTTCTCAACAAGAATGCATAAGACTTCTGTTCCGACTTTTCAGGAGCTCTGTCAAATGCTTCAATGTCATACTTCATCAATTGACATTTTCGGATTTGTCTGAGTAAGATGTCTCTGAGAACCAAGTCATCTGGCGGGGTTTCCATGCCGGCAATTGTGGCGTCCCATCGGTTCAGAAACCTTCTAAGGTCCTCCACAGATTCTCCAGTGCGAACGACTCCAAGTAGGTCCTCGACGCGGTAGAGACTGCCAGCTTCCTCAGACGTCCTGAAGTAATCTTCAAACATCAAAAGGACTCTCCTACCTCTAACTTGGATCCCTTTCTTTGACTTCTCATCTTTGAAGTTATGGATCTTCGTTGCTAAATCACCTTTGGCCGAGCGAGTTAACGCTGCCGACAATTTGGTGTCAAGTGTGATGAACTTCCCAGGTTCCTGCAGCTTTTCCTCCAACTTTTCCCTAGGAGTTTTGTTGTCAAAGACTTCATTGAGCCAAAGCCAAGCCTCATCGGGTTTGTCGGAGCACGACTTGACTTCATCCCTGACATGATTACGCCAGTGACGATACGCTTCTGGGGCAGGCATGTCGTTCAGTTTGATAGTCTCTGCCTCTTTTGTTCGGGGCTTTTCACCATCTGAATCCTTTGAAGTCAGTCTAGTGATGAGATCTAGCAATTGTTGACCTGAAAGACCTAAGCCTGCATCAGCAGCTTTCTTGCCGGTGTCGCTTGCTATTGCTGTAGGACTGGGCACACTATGCTCTTGATTTGCATCATCATCATTTTGTCTTTGAACTGGCAATGGTGGCAGTTTTGGAGGGGCTGCTGATCCGGCAGGGGTTGTTGAGAACAAGTTGCTCAACCTTTCCTTGGCGTCCATGGCTAAGCTGCTCATACCAGTGTTTGGCATGGGTTCTGCTCCAGCCTTGGTACCGACCGCTGATTTTGGGGTCAAGTACAAATCGACATTGTTCCCGCCTTGTGCATCATCAACTTCGACGGCTCTGTCGACCTTGATTTCTGGGGCGCTGTACTTGTTGAGCTTCTCCATCAAATCCTCCACTTGTCCCTGCAGTTGAAAGTTGAGTTCAGCAGCTTGGTTTTCCTGCCTACTGCATTCCTCTCTAATCTCCTGGATTACAGCTTGTTCCTCCTTCTTGAAACCTTCCATGCCGTTCTTTGCATACTCTACTGTTTCGTCCACGATTCGTTTACAGTCTGCCTCGAGGCTACCTCTGAGTTCAGAAAACCTTTGTTCGTACTGGGCTGTAACACGGGCTACCTTTTGGTTGGCTCTTTGCTCAGCTTCCAGTGCAACTGCATTTGCAGCATTTTTCAGCTTTGCGTTTGCATCGCTAAGTTCCTGTCTCAGTTTTGCTACCTCATGCTCAGTTGCCGTTTGGGACATTGAATACTCTGACACTAGGTGTTCATGTCTGCGATCAGCTTCTGCACGTTGATGGGCGATTTCACTAAGGCAAATTCCCTCAAACTCTTGGTACAGTTGCTGGACCTTTTGTTCCATGAGATGTGTGTGCCTCTCCTCTGCCTCTTGCCTGAAAGCATCAATGTTACCTTCGTTGATGTAGGTAAGATTGTTTTGCACGAGCTGGAAATAGGCTTGCACGGGCTGTGTGAAGAAACCTTCATCAACCGACATGGGCGTGGGGTTTGTCCCAGCCGGCAAGCTTTGCTGAGAACCAGTTGATGCAGATACAGTTCCAGTCGAGGGTACGAGGGCACCGCCACCTGTAGCGTCATGTGTCTTGTCCATGGCTTTAGAGACTACGGCTGATAACCTGTATTTTCAGGTTTCAGCAGGGGTTATCTTATAATCCCAAATAGACTGATAAACCTATGGGGCAAAACCGTTAAGCTAGCGGACCAGCACTTTTATCCTGAGCCGCAATGCTGTCGTACATTACTATTATACATGTGTGTTTTATGTGAGGTGCTTTTACAGTTTCAACTAATATCCCATATGTAACATATCATCACTGGTTGGTGGTTTCAACCCCTCTGAAATATATTTGTCAGCTGGGATGATTATTCCCAATATATGGGAAAATAATCCAAATGTTCCAAACCACCAACCAGTTATACAAAGTGGGGCCCCCTAGATAGCTAAGTTGGTGCAAATAACTCCAATTTCACTATGGTTTATGGTACGCAAATAACTATAGTTTCTGGGGCGAATCTAAACCAACAAACATCACTGGGGGGCCTCACATTGTAGTTATTATACATCCCATATTCTCCATGGTGCTGGTATATTTACCTACAAAACTGGGTGATTTTGTTCGGGCAAATGTTGGCAAATATTCCAGCACCATGGAGCATATGGGTACATGTATAATATATATATACATGTGTGTTGGTATTTGAAGGATATATATATATATCTGGACAAATTATAATAATTCACAAACCTGAATTAAGGCCATTTGGGGATGATTTCCAATACTAACCAGTGAGGTCGTTATAATTTACCCAGATATATTATATATTCGTCAACATCTATTGCTGTGTGTATTTCAGTGGTCCGTTGGAACTTGGCGCCGCACCGCGAATGTTGGCCGATCGCCAAGCGCTCATCCTCGCCGGCCTTGTCCCCGGCGCCTCAAAACGTTTAAGGTGCAACGGAAAGCAGCGGAAAATGGTGGTTTGAACATGTTTTAACCAAGAAAAATGGGGATTTCCATGGGTTTAAACATGTTTTAACCAAAAAAAATGTGATTGTTCCATGGGATTTCACTTATTTAACCAAGAAACATGATTATAAAAAAAGAAAAACAAACATTAGATTTTTTGCAGATTTCAGTGAGGTGATGATGAGTTTGCGTTTGGTTCTACAGTAATGATGAACATGATCGTCATGTAATAATGATGGTTATTTTACAGTTTGAGGTTACCGTTACATTACAATAATTCCCAGATCATCACTGTACTACTTTAACTAGTCATGATTCATGATGATGTTTCTGGAGTTATGTTGTGGTTATGTTGTGATTATGTTGTGGTTATCTGAAGAAACAGTTTTTGCTTCAAAGATCCCCAAAGTTAGCATTCCCATTGTTAAAATCATTTGATGGTTATAGAAAAAATGAATGATGAAACCTAGTGGAATATGAATATATAATGAATAAAACCTATAGTCATTTATGGTTATTAATCATTTTATGGTTTTGATGAAAAATAATGAATAATGACTATATAAATAATGTTTATGCAATCAAAAACCTAGTGGAAATTTGTTGGGAATTTTCACAATGATTGCCATGTGGCGATAGATATTTACAGGAGTCTAGCAACCTACAGTTGTATAATCCGATTCCAAAATACTTCGAAATTAGTTCTGAATCTTTCTGTGGATTCCTATATGTATCAGGGTGATGTTTAGAGGGGTTTAACCATTAATAATAGGGGATTCTAATAAGGGGATGAAAATATGGCATCAACGAATCAACAGTGGGGATTGATCAACTTACCTTTGAGGAACCCCCAGGAAGCGTTTTGGGCCATGCAGTCAATCAGGATTCTTCAACTTAAAGCAATTGGTTTATTTCATGGAAAATCCATCTATAAATGGTTATAGTATAATAATTAGTAATATAAATAGTAATGGTAATAGTAAAATCAACTTAATAAAAAAACGAACTTATAGTAATAGTAATAGTAATGGTTATATAATAGTTATATAGTCTATATAGTGGTTAAATGGTCATTTAATCCAATATTCATCAAACAATCATGTGGAGGGTTTCCCAAGTCATCGGGGTACGAGAGCGGGTACCCCCAGTCATCATCCCTATCAAAAGGGGATGTTCCATGAAATAAACCATGCCCCATTTATTCAATGGTCATTCCAGGATCCTCAAATGGAGGTACCTACCATATATAAGGCCTATTTTTCAGGCCTATGTAAGGGAATATCCCCCCAAAATATGGCCAAACATATGGTACGTTTACGTACCTCCATCAATTGGATCCTGTTTTATTCCCATTGATCATCTGGGTTTGTCTGGAAATGAGGTACCCCTAATTCCAATGGATCATTATTCATCATTCCCATTACCATCTGGTTATGACTAACATAGCCATGGAAAATCCCCAAAATAAATGGAGGTTTCTAGCTGGGAAAATCATCTATGAATGGTCATTTGGAGGGTACACCCCATTTTCAGACAACACCATCTATGTCACCTAGGTCCCCAGTTTTGACGTTTACCCTCTGGTAATTTAACATAGCGAACATGGCCATCTATAGTTCACTTACCCACTCAAAATGGTGATTTTCCATAGCTATGGGACAGTTTACCAGAGAGTAGGTCCCCAAAAAATATCCCATTGAATCACTATAAATCTCATGGAAAATCACCAGAAAAATCACTCTCAATTTCCATTACCAGAGGGTAATCATATTAAATCACTATAAATCACTATCAATTTCCATTAATTACCAGGTAAATGAAGTGATATCACCACGACTTTGCTGCTTAAAATTGCCTCGCCTTGCTGTAGCTTCAAGCTGTGATCCACCAGTGCATGCAGCAGCAGACGGAGCTCACGGACCACCTGCCCATGGGGACAACACGCCCATGGGGAGCAAACGGATTGTGGTGTGGATCCACATATCCCAAAACATTGGATAATCGGATGGAATTAACATGAATTAACCATCCTTCATGGTGGGATAATCATTCTTTAAAAACATGGAATCAGCCCTAAAATAACATTGGTATAGGGATTTTTGGATAGAATTCATAGATATTACCCTCTGGTAAATTAACAGTTTGACCCTAAAAATAGCCTAGTTTTGTCATGGAAACTACTCTTCCAACTCCGATGGCTGCCAGGGTCGTCATGTTAATTTACCAGAGGGTATATAGTACCAATAGTTTATTAAGTCTAGTTCATAAACTAGATCGCTAGATTATGCTAGAAAAAAATATCCCCAATACATCCCAATACACTATCAGTACCATTTAGAAGCTGTAGGTTTGGTTAAGTGTAGTTTATTAATCAAGTTATAAATAACGACTACTTAATTAAGTAACTAAGCCGTCCCAAACTTAATCAAGTTAGATAGGTGTTGTTAACTATAGTTTAGTTACCCTCCAGTAAATTAACATGACGACCCTGGCAGTCATCGGACTTGGAAGATGAGTTTCCTCTATAAAAATGGGTGATTTTCAGGGTCAACAAGTTAATTTACCAGAGGGTATATGGGTATGGGTCAATACCTATAGATACATTTTTAGTGGGATGAACATCCATTTACCAGCTATAGATTGCAGGGTATATCACAATTCGAGAACATTGCAAGATCGCACAAGCTAGACTTATCTGCGAGCGAATGGAAAAATGGAGGGTATATCATGTTATCCCCCAAGCTCGACCCTAGTTAACCTGGCGTCATAAGTCAACACGGGGCGATCCAGGGGAATCCAGGGAATCCTCAGCAGTGGAGCAGTGAGGCCAAGGCCACTACAATGTGAGGCCCCCCAGTGATGTTTGTTGGTTTAGATTCGCCCCAGTAACTACAGTTATTTGCGTACCATAAATCATAGTGAAATTGGAGTTATTTGCACCAACTTAGCTATCTTGGGGGCCTCACATTGTAGACTTGAGGCTTTCCATAGTCACGGTGCTACCCCAAGCGAGCATTGGATGGTTTATTTCATGGAACATCCGAAAAAATAATGGATTACCCTCTGGTAAATTAACATAGACCCTGAAAATAGCCTAGTTTTAATGGAAACTAATCTTCCAACCCCTATCTGGCAGGGTCTATGTTAATTTCCCAGAGGGTATGACTGGGGGGTTCCATAAATGGAGATAACCCAATAGCTGGATGGTTTATAATGGAAAATCCTATTGACATGAATGATTTAGGGGTAGCCCTATGACTTGGGAAACCTCCAATTGGATCTGTAACGGGTAAGAAGCCAATGAGTAACCACTCAACTAATCCCGCGGCCTATCTAAGTATCCAAAAATGATTTGAAAACCGACGACGAAACCATGCTTGACCCAGTTATAGGGACTTCACGAAAATATATATCAAGAATCAGGGAGTCTCCGGTAAGAAAAAGATGTTGCGAGCAATTTGGGGCCTTGAAATTAGAGTTTTTCAACCAAAAATGGGGACACACCCCTCAGCATGCACTTAAAGTTCGTAGAAATTGATGAATTATTGCTTCACTAACATTATCATGTGGTTAAAACAATAGTAAACCATCCATTTGGGAACGCTGAAAAAACCACCCATTTATGGTGATTTGGGGGATGGTTTATTGTTTTACTCATGGGTCATTCAATGTCCCCATTGAACATCACCCAACCATTAGGTATATGTATATGGTCTATAATGGCTACTATAAGGTGATGTCCAATATTCCCAAAATGGGACAGTTACCAACTCCTGTTACTCTCATTACTTGTGTTTTGATAATCAACATACAGGTTCCTGCGAAGTTCTGGAAATGTCAGACATCAACCAACCAACCGTGATGTCAGAAATGCGCAGCGATTTGACTGCAGCAAAAAGACCGGACGAGGGGGTTGAAACCAGTCTGGTGCGTGACAGTATTTCTCACAGAGGATTTTGTGATATTTTGTTGGATAACTTCAACATGCTGATGTGGGTTCAGTTCCAAATATGCTTGCTGGCGAAACAACTCCGCAACTCGCCACTTCCAATACGGGTGACTGGTTGGTGATTCCAACCCTCCCAAGATGAGGGGGTCGGTAAACTAAGATTTTGTAGGAGATTTTGTAGCACAAGGTTGAGGTTGTAAAAAGATGTAAAAAGGCATCTGCTAGCTGAAGCAACTGAACCAAGAAAGCCCAAGACGTGGTTTACCATTGGCTTGACACCGTATGCCCATGGATGACCAGGGACCCCTTCCCACCCGGAAGGTGCAGCTATGGAGGTGCCACTCCATGCAGGTGAAATGGCCGAATACAGAATGGGGCCCCGTTGGATAGCGTTCAGAAACGCCTGAAAAAAGTGGCTGAATGAATCCTCTGGTTTATGGTACATATCACAAACTAGTTAATGGTGATTATTTCATGGTTTATAAACCAACAAACATAACTGGGGGGCCCCATCCTGTATGGTTGAACAGCATTATGTTTGTTATAATTGATATTATCTTATTGTAATAACACCATTATTATACAGTAATATATTATATATTATAATAACACCATTATTAAGAACACTGTTCTTAGCCAATACCCTCTGGTAAACGTTTACAGTTTGCGACATTGAAAATGGCCCAGTCGAAATAGTTGATTTACCCAGCTAGAAAATAGTGGGTCTTTCCACAGTCATGTAAACGTTTACTATACCAGAGGGTAATTCTACAATGTGAGGCCCCCAAGATAGCTAAGTTGGTTTATAACTCCAATAACTATGGTTTATGATACTTATAACTATAGTTACTGGGGCTTATAAACCAACTTATAACTGGGGGGTCTCACATTGTACCATTATCCAGTATGTCCATTTTCGTGTCGCTTGAGATCCCATTTCATCCCATTTCTTTGCCAGTGTCAGTGCTGGTTTTTTTCTCCAGCTGGCATGCTGGCAGTGTTTCCATATTTTTTGACTGGTTGAACCTCGATGTGCAAATTGGCTAAATCAAATCGTTCATTGGTCAAATTATCATTTGCATTGCTTAAATCCACCTTTTCATTGATTAAACCAAGCAGTTTTCAATGCAAATCTTGCTGGTTACATCCAAAATGTGTGTTGTTAAGATTCACCATGGCTGAGGCGAAATCACCACCATTTGCGGTGAACTCCGCCCGGGATCTGTGACCGTGCCTCTAGGCGCAGTTCTGCATTGTCAGCGTCCAATGCGGAGGTCAAGTCCTCGATTTCGGCAGGACTTCTCACCAGTGGCAATGGTTGAATTATGTTGAATTATTGATCTTGATATCTTAGGTTTTGGCTACCACGGCCCCAAAATCTAGGTATACCCTCTGGTAATTCAACACAGCCATGGAAAATTGCCTGGTTTATCCGTAACAGTGCCAATCTGCCAGATACCCTACAAAAAATGACAAATTCTTAGCTGGTGAACGTAGATAATCCCATTGATATCAAAAGACTAAAGGATTAGTTTCTACCCATCAAAGATTGACCTAGTCACCAGCACATGTTTGATTTTGTCTGAAAATCCATGAAAACTCATTATGTTCCATAAATGATGGGGAATCATTTATGATTTTGAATAGTGCTTCATCAAAATGATTGGGAATCCAGAAAATTATGAGATTCAATATACCCCAAATCTACTAATGAATCAGAATTGTTCACATTAATCACAATGTTTAATAGAAACACCATCTTAAATTGAAAAAAACATAGCTATGTGAAATTTCCATAGGATAATAATATATAGTAATCAGCATTCTGCCTTTTTCTTGCAGCAGCTGCTGGAAAAATGACTGACGCATCCTTGCTGTGAAAACAAAATGGATCCCCAAAAGTGAATGTTCTGCAAATGTTCGCATACATTTCCTTCAGGCATCCAAATCTACTACCCTTATTCAGCTTGTCCAAACACTCCTTTGTCATGACATATCACAACTTTGATTGATTTCGATCAACGAATTCTGACTCGAATCAAGGGATGCTGAATCCACTAAATTTGTTGATGACACTCAGATTTCTGCCAAACTATAGTTATAAGATGTTATAAGTATCATAAATGTGAGTTATTGAAGTTATGTTCACCAATTTCTTGTTTGTGTTGGTGTATGAAAGCCACTCTTCTTGCGAGGCTGCTACCTACATCGCCCCAAGCTCTTGGGGAATCAACAAAACACACAAATTCGTCGTTGGGGATTATGATCCCAAATACATTTCAGAAAATAAAAAGAAAATACATGCGTGTTTCCTAGAATGGGTGTACCCCCAAAGCATCCAAGTCATGACCAAGAGTTAACTAGTATTGAACACCATGACAATATCATGCGAATTTCACATGAACCAGATTGGAACTCATAAAAAGAAGCTTTACCAAGTCATGGGCGCGTACCTTCAAATCATCTTATTTTCGGATCCATGAAATGGTTACCAGGTTACCATCCATCCAGGGGGTATCCCCATGACTATGGAAACACTTCCGCGCAAGCGTGCACGCGCCCGATCTCTCCTGTGCTCTGGAGGTGGTATGCTGTAGCAACGCCTTACTGATTGCCGCGCTATGCACACCTCCCGTGGATCGGATGGCAAAGTATGGCAAAGTGGGCGAACGCCAAGTTGACTCTAAGGTCCAATAAGTCACTACGGTTTATGCAATTTCACTATGATTTATGGTTTATGATACTCCAATAACTATGATTTATGATACTTATAATATTTTATAATTTATAACTTATTGTGTTCCTGGGGTGTAAAAACCAACAAACATATCGGGGGGAGCCACCTGGTACACCCCTGGAGATAGCCCCATAAAAAATAAACCACACCTGAGATCCAGATTCTGACGAAATCTCAAAAAGTCGGGAAAAATCATGAAACCTCAAATCATGTGCCATTTCGATGAGGAACGATCATTGCCCAAGACATTTTTTGGGCTTTCTATGTGCATGATCAAATGCTCAACCATCACTCAGCGGGCCCCAGAACTCAGCAATGCTTGGCCCGGCCGTGAACTCTATGCGCTAATGGGTGTGTCTGAAAATGGAATATACTTGGTGGCGAAAATGCCATTTCTGGTTGGTGGTTGAGCCTACCCGTCTGAAAAATGATGGAGTTCGTCAGTTGGGATGATGAAATTCCCAACTGAATGGAAAATCAAAAAAACATGTTCCAAACCACGAACCAGATTTAGTAAGTGGCTTAGTTAATTTGTTATAACCCTAGTCTACTAGCTTGTTGTGACGGTGGATTTACCGTACTTATCCCATTTATAATTGGGCTTATAGTAATATTTACAATCCACTTACTAATGGGATGAACCACCAAGTACCCCCCAAAAAAATTCAGTAGTTGTTACCTCGGGACTGATTTTCCTAGGATTTAGGGGTACCCCCATTTTCAAGCAAACCCAGACATGAAAAACCCTGAATGATACGGGTGACGGGCCAGGAATCTGTGGGTATCATGACCTGACCCACAAAAAGGCACGCAATCCTTTAAAATTCTAAGCATCAAAAATGAACAATTCAAAATATTAGCCTCTGGTTATTTAACATAGCCATGGGAAATAAGCCATTTATAGATGAATTATGATGATTTACCTATTAAAAATTGTTAGTCTTAACCATGGCTATGTTAGTCATAACCAGAGGGTACCAGATCCTTTCCAAAAATGGCTTTAGCAAACATCAAACAACTCCACAAAAACGAATCTCGCTGCACCCCGACGGAGGTAGGTCCACCACAGAAGCATTGCTGCTGTGAAGTGAAACGCAGGACTTGTGTTGGAGATGTGGTATTTGGTCCAAGTGGTCACTTTTCAACAAATTTTGTGGAAATCATTTTCCGAAACATAAGATCTAAAGGGAAGCGATTGAAAACTCAATGAAGCCATCCCCATTGGAATTAAGCGGTTCCCCATGGGTTGCCATTTTATAATCTAGATTGGTGACCCACTACCCTCTGAGTCTGGCCCCATAAAATGGAACCACCCAAGCATGCACTGATGGAAACCCTCGAAAGAATGGATGCCTTCAACCAAACTATAACAAGGTTCCCAAAGCCAAAACAATCTATAGAATGGAGGACTTAAGGTAAACTGAAAAAAATTGGCCACTACAACATGGTAACCAACCCTTCACGCCCAAAGACAAACATTCCGTTTGAACTGCTCAAAAACACGGCTCCACACTGTTGGTTGCGCCTTCGGTTTGCTCCTCATCAATGATGCGCACCTTGGGCGGGTGTCTGAAAATAGGGGATACTACCGAATTTTAATTGGCAATATTGATGGATTTAGGGATACCATATTCTCAAATATGTAAATAGATCCAATGGAAATAGTTAATTCTAAATAATAGCAACCAGTTTATAGAAAACATATCATTGTGAGTCTAGCTACATGAATGGATATAATATGGATTTAATGATGGTGATATAATGGAGATATCATGGGATACAATGGGGAGATAATGGAATCATGTCTAAGTATAAGGTGGTCCCCCAGTTATAAGTTGGTTTATCAACCCCATAGATACATATATATATATAGTATATTTATACACATAAATACTATAGTTATAGATTTTAAAGATCTATCAACCCCATAAATTAGTCGTGGTTAAAAAAAAAATGTTGTGAGTACTGAAAATTAGTCCTGGGTATACCCCGCTCTTCCCCATAAATACAAATAAATACATGTAAATACTATATTAATATATCGTAAACCAAGTGATTGGAGTTCTAAGCCCAACTTCGCGCCATCGTTTGGAGGCCCCACTTCTGACTTTTTTCGGGGCGATCATCCAAGTGATTGACTGATAGCTATCGAAGTATATGGGCCACGGCTTCCGTAGCTGTTGAGATTAGAGGCTAAGAGGTAATGATGGTTAATGTTGGTGAATATTAATGGTTAATATTAATGGTTAATATTAATGATTATTATATGGTTAATGATCTTGAATAATATGGTTTATCAATGATTACTGGTTGGTGGTTGAGCCACCCCTCTGAAAAATGATGGAGTTCGTCAATGGGTTTCGGATGATTTCCCATATATGAAATGGAAAAAAAATAAAAGCCATGTTTGAAACCACCACGGCTTTTCCACGGCTTTTCTATGATGGCATCTGCTCAAGTTGGGGAGCGAGACACCGATATTCGGTTCTGCCTGAGTTCTCATCTGAGAGACACGTCTACCTTCATCCCTGGGTCGTGACCAATGACCGGGAGCGACAACAGAGCGGCAGCATTGCGCGTACATTTAGTTTTCAAATGGCTCAAAAGCCAAGAGTCAACTCTGTCTCGATGCCAGTCACTCCATTGAACACTCACGCATTGCACATGCGCCTGGATGGCGCTTGACTCTGGACGGCATTGGTCAAAGCACACATGTACCTGTCCTTCCTTCAACATGTTTTGAAGAAACCTTCTGAACCATCTCAGTTTCACACGCAGGTTGATTTGATCGTGAGCCACGTAGGGCCTATTGGCCACATCGATCCACTGCTTGTTCACTTTCAAAGGTCCTGGTTGTCCAAAAGTCAAATTGTAGTCAATGAACAACTGAGTTATTGACATCCAACAGACCTTAGAAGCCATGTCATCACGCGTCCGCTGAGACCACCAACTGATTGCTCGCTGGGCATGACCCTCACCATACACAAAAGCCAACTGTGGTAATCGACATCCCTTCCAGCCAGTATTGTCAAAGGTAGGAGCAAATTGACGGGTCTCCTTCGGCGCAACAACTGTTGTCTCTGCTCTGGGCTGGTGCTGCCCCATGACTTGCTGTTTGGCAATAGCCACATGCAGTTGCCGGACTTGGGTAGACAGCCGCTCAGCTGCGATAACCCCTTGCACATGCTGACGCCAAAAAGACCAAAACTTTTCGGGCCGGCTTTGGTTGGCCAGCTTTGCTGCTCTGTCTGCCGCATCATTATGGTAAATCATCCACCAGTCAAGCCGACTCGTGGCACTGGCATAACTTCGGTGCGCAGGAACCTTCATGATCTGCAAGTTATCTGTACCAAGTTCGGCAAGGGACTCGGCGATCCAAAACCAAAGATCAGCATGGGTCTGGTTAGGTGTGACAACCCACATTCCCATCTTCATGAGCACCAACTTGTTAACAACACCCAAGCAGTCAAGCCACAAACGAACTTTCGCATGACAACGAGAGGCCCAACACAGTACACATGCAACCGCATACAACTCCGCACGGAAAGCGGTCTGGCAAAGTCCAGGTAAGACCGAAGACCCCAACACCCCAAGGGACGTACCACGCCAACCAGCAGTACAAGGATGCGCCAACACTGCAGACCAAGCAGCAACACGGTACTGTGGGCGGGACTGCCACAGGCATGATCCATCTGTGAACACATCATTCCACCTATGTTGGGAAAAGTCCATTGCAGCACCAGGAATGTCCTGTGGGATCGCTTGCAAAATTTGCATCCAAGAAGTCCATGTTGGGGAAAGCATAGCCCAGCCTCGCAGGGCTAGGGTGTTCGGCAGGAGTGGCAAACATTGCACGGCATCTGGGGCAAGCGTAGCTCGGAGGTAAGCAAACTTGGGACATTCCCAGATCCTATGTCGCAAAGAGTCCTTCTGGGAACACCACTTGCATGTGTCAGGACCTTCATTCCATTTGGCTTTGACATCGGCTGTAACAAAACCCCCGGCAAGGCATAGGCGGTACAGGGCACGCTCAGCAACATCCAAGCTCGCAAGTCCTTGCCTCGTGGAAAGGACATCGACACAACTGAAACCCCCAAAGTCACTACGGTGGGAAACTTCGGCAGCGACAACACGCACCCATGCACTTTGCAAACGGACAAGGAGCTCACCAAACGGGACTGTAACAGGGCAAAACGAGCCAATGTGGTCACACAAAAAGCCTTGGGGTGTCACCGTAAGTCCAAGTTGTTGGATCCGTGTGAGGACAACCTGGGCAGGTGAATTGGGCGGCAAATCCAAGTGCCCAACAGCGCACGGATAGACAACGGCAGCCCAAAAGTCCAAGGACTGAAATGTGCGGACATCTTTGATGGTCTGGAGGAGGGCACAAAACTGCGGGTCAAGACCATGCTCAGTCAGGCACAAAAGGTGACAATTCACTCCTGCTTTATCAAGTTGTAACGATGCCTTGACACGACGTCTGAGTTCAGTCCAGACACTGTCGCCGACAGGGGCACTGGAAACTGCAAGCAACCATCCTGATAGCATGTGCTTTACCAGCAAAACTACATCTGCTACCGCGCAGCTTCGTCCAAAAGTCTTCCAAGGCAGACATACGTGCTTTAAGTGTGGCATTGGTATACTGTCTACTCACTCCCATATGGCCTCCTAGCTGACGCGCATGGTGTTCAACCCTGAGGCCAGTGCATCGGAGGGCTGCTCTGGTGGGCGCATCAGTGGCCCAGGCAAATGTTTTGGCTTTATCAACCGTCAAGTCAACCATCTTGGCAAACGCAAGCACAGTGTCAAGCTGGCGACATGCCCAAGAAGGATCGCGTGTGAGGAGTTGCCAGTCATCAACAAAAGACACCGACCGGATGGCTGGGGCTTGTGTCTGTACCCAAACATGGAAAACATGGTCAAGGATTAGCATGCCAAAAACGGATAAGCCACACCCTTCAGCCAAACCTGTGGACGTGGGAAAACCTGCTGAGAAGGAATCCCTGACTTTGAAGTGCCGGACCATGCTCTGCAACGCTCCAGCCCACGCTGTCGTGACACGGTCAGGTGTGCCTGCCAAAATGGCAATGACCAAGGTGGGCCACCTCGGAATCGTGTTGAAACATTTGCTCAAATCAGCTGACAAACCTGCCAATGGTTGGCCAGTAGCATAAGCATGTTCGATTTCTTGGTTCAACTTGGACCACAGGTGTGCAGCATGCAGCTTCTGTCTGCTACCGTAAACCCCAGAATGCACCCAACATTCAGCAAAAGACAACAAATACCTGGCCTGGAGGCTGGACCACAGCCGATAGGCTAGACTAAAAATTGTTATTGGACGAAACTGGTCAGGTAAGGATGCATCAGCTACCTTGGCCAAACTGTGAACTTTTCCGGCAGTGATTTGGGCTGGCCAAATGCCATCAGTCTCTGCTCTGTGGTACATGTTCATGTAGCTTTGCATTGCATGTTGGCCTAAGGCTTGCATGTCACCTCTGCTCACACCATCAAGGCCGGTGGCTGCCGTGCTCTTTTTCCGAGCAAGTTCGGCAAAAAGCTTCTGTGCATCCAACTGCAGTGGTGGGATACGGCATGGTCGCAAGACCCGCTTGGAAAAACAAATGATGTCTTCCCACTGTGAGTTTGGGACTGCATCATGTCTGCACCATCGCGCTCTCCATTGTTCCTGGAAAGCATCAAAAATAGCATCAAGAGAACCTACCTGTGTGGTTTGGACCAGGAGATCTTTGGGCTGTAGGTTACTGACATCATCAAGCCAAACCTTGTCACTTTCAGCATGAATGACAGACACTGTCGACCCTGCAATCCACACAGGCTCCGTGGCATTCAAGTTGACTGGACGGTCTAAAACAACAGCCGATTCTTGTTCATCCACAGATTCAACTTGGGCGTGTTCTCTCTGCAGCAAGACTTCAACTGGGCTGGCTTTGTCTTTGGCGACTTCACGGAAAATGAGGTTCTTATCAACTTCATGTCTGTGTCGCCTGTGCGCTGCTTTCGCCGTCTGAAGGCGGGTTTCCAACATGCGCACCTCCGCAAGGAAAGTGTCAAACAACCTGTAGGCAGTCTTGATATCAGGCCGACACGCGGGCACAAACATCGGATCTTCAGGGTGCTTGAACTCTCGCATTGGCCACCACGCACAAAAATTGGGCACAAAACCAGGGGCTTGCAAGATACTATGCCACAAAGAGATGCCATGCAGGACATTCATTGCTTCAGGCGATTGGACCGCATTTTCGACCCACCTGCAGTAGTTCTGGATTCTTCTCAACTGTTTAAACCATCGGGCATGCAACAAGGAAAAACCATGGTACACCGGTTGAACTTCATGACTACGGCTGGATTTCAACGGGCTGCTTTTCATGACAGTGCGTCTGGGGCATGTTTGCTGCCCTCTGCCTTCCATGCTGGGCACCCACTGGTGACCGTGGTGTGTTTTGGCTACGGCCTCACGCTGCTTCCACATGGCGGCGTATTGAGCGGTTGGATCAGCTGGCTCTGCAAATTCAAACGGTTGTTCAAAATCACCAACCAACTGCCAATCAACAGGAGCAGGACAAGGCCACAAGTACCGGACAGATGGACCTTCACCACGCTTGAACCTGGACACCAAGACTGCATGATCAGCAAAAGTTTCGGCACAGATAGTAACATCTATGAACTTGAGCGCCAACTCTGGGGACAGCCAGCAAAAATCTTTCTGAGTGCGACCTTTGCAAGTGGACACCGGCTGGGCACCAGTGCGATCCCGGTGCAGGGTTTGTGCTTCGACCCACCCTGCAGCCAGCAGTTTCTGGGTGACCTGAAGTTCATGCTGCTCATAGTTCCAGTCACCTGCAAGGAAACGTTCACCTGGCAACGTCAAAATGTGATCACTGGCAAAGTCCAACAAGGCTTCTGTCCTTGAAAGTGCATGATGATGTGTCTTACCAGTGGGGTAACCATAGATGACACTACCTGTAACCCAACCATGGTCAATGTAGGCCGACATGAACTGAATGCGGCTGGTTTCATATGCATCCAATGGCCATGGCACACTGATAGTCCTGCTGGGGCAGGTAGTGAGGAAACCGACACCTGCCCATGTACCAGCTTGGCTGGCTGTGCTTCTGGGTTGGAGCGGCGCTCCAGTGATGACTTTCTTGAAGGGCGACCGCATGGCATGTAGACTACCCCGCAAGGCACGTGTGGAACCTTTGGTGAGATGTGTCTCACTCATGGCAACTATGTTGGCAGGCACCGAACTCAAAACGTGGAATTTTCCTTGCAATCCAGAGGGATTGCAGACCCCAATGCTCCAAGCAGGATCATCTTGGTTGGACGGTCCTGGCACACGAGCTTCACCAATACGACAAAACATCAGGAACAAGACAAGTTGAAAAAAGGCCCGGGCTGGTCGAAATGACCAATGGTTCACCCTGCGTTTGGGCTTCACAACAGGGCTACCTACCCTTCACTCCATCCTGGGCTTCTTCGCCAGGATGTTTTCAATTTTCACCATCTGATCTGACAACATGTTTTGGAGCTGCTTCGACTGCATATCTAACTGACCCATCATTTGCTGCTGCAGGGACTGCACCTGGGCCGTGCTCTGCATATGGTTCTCAGCTTCTGACGGTGTGACAGTTGGGTCAACTGCTGTTCGAGCTGTTGCAACCTGTTCTCCTGATCATCGACTTCCATGGGTTCAGCAGCAGGGGGCAACTTGGCCAGCAGAGACTTCTCAATCCTTTGCTCCATTTCTTCCAGTGCATTGGCATGTGCAGGTGCGGGCACGGGTGGTGCGATCGTGTTGACCGCCATACGCCATGGGTCATCTTTCAACCATGGGTCTTGGGCACACTTGGCATCTTTGACAGCACACAGCTGGACCGTGCTCGACTGACCGACAACTGCAGTGGCATGGCTGGGAGGGACATCGGGACCATGTTGACGGGACACCACAACCTGACCATGAGGCATGACAAGCACATTGGACGGTGGATCGGACACCGCTTGAACTGCCCACATCAGTCCTCCCTGGACACTCTGCATGGGCTGCAAAGGGCGAGCAGCCCAGCCCCATTCTTTCAGCGTTCTGGCAAGGCTTTTACGATCGAGGCCATACGGCCATGGTCCACATTGGAAAGTCGATCTTTGACCTGGGGCAAGGAAAACTGCCTCTGGCTTGAATGCAGCAAAAGCATTCTGGAAATGCTGTGCTCCAACCCTGATGCCATACCTTGGTCCAGACCTGGCAAGGCCTAAGCTATTGACTTCACAACGGGCTTTGTGGGAGATGGTCTCATATGTCAACTGAGGGAGCCACACTACCTGGAAAGCGCTGTGAGGCTGCAACGCATCTTCAGTTTTGGGTTCGATGTAAATCCCCCCCAGCCCACTGTTCGACAAAACCTGGACCTCAAGTTCTTTTGCATACCGGAGGAAAACACAAAAGTAAGAGGCTTTCTCAGCTTTGACAGGCTTGTTGTTGTCATTGTAAAACTGGCGACGAAAGACATCCAACACAGCATCTGGCGCCTGGGCAGATGATGGGTGCCATCCTTTGCAAGTGCATGTGTCGGCTGGCTGGCGGCACGTCATGAGCATGGGCAGTTTCATCAACACCATCTTGACAGGCCGAGTACAAAAATCGTCCCAGGAACCCTCCCATTGATCTGCATAGACAGTGACCCTGGCGCAGGCAACTTCAACTGGGGGACACACTGGCTGTGCATTGCCACTGAACTGGTACACATGTGTCGTACCAAGTTGAACCAACACTCCGTTCAGCAACATCGGCTCTTGATTGATGGTACACCGTGCAGCAAATCGCAGCGTGGACCAAGTCAATGTGGTCTCCAGTTCTTGCTGATAATTGATGACCAAAATGGCCAAGGCTTTGGAAGTGAGCAAACGACCCGACTTCAGAAAGGGCTGAGCATCAGCAAAACTGGCGATGGCTACTCCGGAGGACAACGGTCCAATCTGTGCAAGGCTCAGCTGTGACAGTGGTTCATCTTGGCCGCAACGAAACATGCCCGCATCAAGCATCAACTTACTTGGGTCAATTTCAGTGGGACGGGTCGGCATGGTCTTGTGTTCATGATTGCCCTTTTTGCTCTTGCTTTTTGGTCCTTGCTTGGCAATAACAGCGGCATGCTCATCTTGCAGGACCAATTGAAGTGGTGGCTTGTGCTGGTTCGCCAACGCTTTCAATGACTTCCAAGGAGAGACGCCTGTGATGGCACTGTGAACAGCCTCCTTTCCAAGGCTCTGGATGACCAACCTGGCACGTTGCTGAGTCTGGCCACTTGGTACTCCATGGAACTGCAACATCGTAGCAACCAATTGTTGGGTGTCAGCAACTCCAAGTCCCCAACACCACGGTCGGGCAATCTGGGCGATTGTTTGGAGGTAACCAGCAAATTGGGTTTTGTGAGTCTCATGCAAACGCAGCAATGCATCTTCATCACTTGGCAGTTCATGACCCAACATACGGTATGCACCAAAAGCCATGACAGCAGCACCACACAAGCTGACCCCAAAAGTGCGTCGAGTGCAAGCGACACTATATGATGTGAGGCCAAAAGCCGCAGTCAACTTGGCATGCAGTGAAGACAGGATGTTGATATCGGTGGAGTCATGTTCCCAAATTGCAACTTCCAACACTCCAGATCGTGCAGTCCATACCACAGGAATCCAATGCTCATGGACATGAATGGCGGTCGTCATCATTCGGATTTCACCAAAGACGCTAAGTGCCTGACTGATGGTTTCAGCATCACCTGTCTGCAGCCAGCTGGTTGCTAGCAATGGGTCCAACACGACTATGCCTGAGACAGTGATCTGTCGTTGCATTTCGGACAAACCCCATAGGATCTCATCATCACCCCATGCATCACCTTGGTTTGGCAGGAGCTGGAGACGGACTCTGGCACTAGACAACTGCTGGCGCAACGCATGACTCATGTTGGCTTCAGGGACGAGTGGGGGCAACAAAGCAAGCAATGCTTTTTGGGACAGCTTGGCATAGGACGACAGGGCATCGATGGATTCTTCAGGTTCAGCCTGCAAAAGGGCTTGGACAACCGACACTTCCACCTGGGCATCATCAACTGTCATGTGTTCAGGGCTGCTAGGCTTGAGACTTTCTATGGTGGCTGCACTAGACGCAGGGACACACGACGGACAAAGACTCTCGGCTGCTGCTTCACACTGGTCAGGCACAGGGACAAGGGACCAACTGGAGACCTCGGCATTCATGCTTGGCATCACGGGACATGACGTGTGAGGGACAAGACAAATGGCAAGGCCAGCAACTTTGTCATCACTCTGCAAAACATCACGGTCGGGAAGACTCACGGCAAACCATGTGTGTTGTCGTCCCAGTTGACCTTCTGCATGCAAGACATCAGCAACTGTGGTGTCAGCATCAACAAGACACCTGACACTTGGTTCACCATCAACACAGATGTCAACAGACAGACCACCACTAGGCTGCAAAGACAGTGACGGGTACAGGACTTTGGATTGCGCAAACAGTGCTGTCTTGGCTTGGTGCAGCAGGTCCATCGGTTCCAAAAAACCCGCCTGTCCTGAAAGCAACGCAACATGTTGCCGGATGCATGCTCCCACCCAGAGCGCTTGGAGTGGTGATCCTAGCTGGCCAATTGCACACAAGTTCAACCGTTGATTAGGACCCCAATCTTGCAGTGGAAGAAATCCATTCATGAGGCTGACTTCAACAGCATGCAAATGACGGAATTGTGAAAATCCATGTTCTGACCCCACTGGGACAACCTGTGCAAAAATCCCCCTGGAAAGGAGTCGGCTATCACTCAAACCTTCATTGCGGCATCCGCATTCGCAAGCTACACATTGACAACCCCATGAGTGCAAAGCTGTTGGTAGCTTTGCATCAACCTGAACAACATGTTTCTTCATCAGTTTGTCTTCACGCTGGAAAGCTTGGAGCTCGACACTGGTCAAGCAAAGCTGCTGCATGTCATCGGATGGCCAAACTTTGTGAAACGGAATCAAGTCACGAAAAACCAAAGGACTCCCACCTGGCATGGGTTTCAATGGCACTGCATGCAAACATGACCAAACCGCAACAAACCACCATCGATGTCTTTTGGCTGCCCAAACATCTTCAAGACGGAACCAGGCCTCAGACACGCAATAACCCAAGGATTCCAGGACACGCAGATGGGCACGCACGTAAGCATTGCATGAAGCCGGTGTGACACACTCACCGATCAAAACAGGGCATTGCATGAGGTGTGCTGCTTTGACAATCGCGGGTAAAGTCGAAGAGCGATCATCAAACTGTCCGGCCTGTGAGCCACCTTGTGAGAATGGCTGGCAGGAGAAGCCTGCAGCCAACGTAAAAGGAGGCTGGCACTCCTGGTGCACAAGTTTCAGAAGGCTGACGTTGGCAATGTCCCCTGCAATCACAGGAACATGCTTGTGAAGCCTTCGATGCAGTTCAGCAATCGGTTCTCTCCATTCCATGCTACACTTGTGAACAAAGCCAGCCTGAACCAAGCCCGAGGCAGAAGCACCAAGTCCCGCACACATCTCAACCAAGTTCCACATGTCATCAAGAGATCTCAAGCCATGCTGAATGATGCAGGTCTCATCAGTGACCAAAAGGTCGACACACATTTCCTGCTTGTCAAACAAGGCATCAATCATGGTGATCTTTTCGCACCCTTTGTGCTCGGAAGGCAAGCCAGTCACACGGATCGATCGACCACCTGGAAAAGCACAAGCCAGAGTGGCGTCTTCCAACCAAACCAAATTAGTCAAAACAAGGGAAACTTTGGCCCCAGCAGTGAGTTCAGTCCAGTTTGGCACCAAAAGGTCAGGTGCAGTGATGTCGACACCCCAGGTATCCATGGCACGATGAAGCAAAAACACGTGTGACCTGTCAGCTCAAATCAGCTGGCGTGGCTCACCTCAGATCTGTCAGGTTTTGAGCCCGAGCTGTTTGAAACCACCAACCAGCATTAGATCCCATTAGTTGGTTGTAATCCCGCAGCTTTTTGTTCGTTTCAATCCTCGCCCTGAGGAATTTATATATCACCAGTCATCAGTCGCTCAATCCTGAGCGGCCTACATCCAGTAACTTCGCCATTGCCGCGTGTTTTGAAGTTGTTTTCATCCAATGTTTGATCAATGGCCATGCAACAGGAACCTAAAATTGATTGGAGGTACCGATTCCATATATATTTTTGGCCTATTTTTCAGGCCTAAATTTCAGGGAATATCCTCACAAAAGATGGCCAAAACTATGGTAAAGTACCTCCATCAATTGGATCCTGAAATTACTTACCAGTGATCCAATGAATCCTTGATGTGTTTCACTATTTCGATGCCTGGCCTTGGGGGGAAAAATAAAAGCTGCTCTTCACCCCCAACTAGCTGGTAGCCATGATGCAGACCCAAACCTTTTGGACCCGTCATCTCCAGATCGTTGAACGAGCTAAGTTGGTTTAATAACTAGGTTAATTAGGGTTTATAACTGGCAGACTTAACCAATTACCTTGGCTAACCCAAATTGACATCAATTAAATACAAACTCGAATTAACTATAATCAGCTACTATGGTGGTTATAACTATAGTTAGATTGGTCTGCCGGCAAAAATCACTGGCTTGCCCCACCTCGTACAGGCCATAGGTGTTGTATAACCCATTCCCATAATCCCAAGTGAATATAAAACACGTCCGAAAATCACCTTTTTAGCAGGGGATGAAACCACCTGGTTGGTGGTGCAATGTTCCGATCTTGAAAAATGATGGAGTTCGTCAATGGGTTTCGGATGACATCCCATATATGAAATGGAAAATAAAAGCCATGTTCCAGTCACCACCAACCAGTGATAATTAACCATTATTAACCATCATTAACCATCATGAAACCCCATACTAAACCAATCTTTGAAACCACCAACCAGCCACATGTTCGGGACCATACAACGGGGGTGTTTTTCAGATTAATGTGGTAAACCATCATCCCATTGCTACAGGATGGGGCCCCCAGTCGTTGTTGCGTTCAGAAACGCGTGAAAAAAGTGGTTGAATTAACTCTTCAATAGGAATTTCAGGATCCTAAAATGGAGGTACTGTACCATATAAGGCCATATTTTCTGGGAATATTCCCTTACATAGGCCTTACATAGGCCTTATATATGGTAGATACCTCCAATTTAGGATCCTGCAATGGCCATTGAACTCTGGTTTATGGTAGATATTTCACGAACTATAGTTATATAATGGTGGTTATAAATCATGGTTTATTTCAACCAACATTCACATCACGTTTGGGGGCTCCATCCTGTACGGGTTACCCAATTTCAGAAACATGGCATTCTCTCTGGGGTATAGGATCCATTTTGAATGAGATGATTTCTCCACGAATAGCAGCATTTCCCATTAAAAAACTTCCCGTTGCATCCCCGTTTTCATTGGTTAAATAGTTAAATCCCATAGTTCATCAGAAATTAGGGGGATGGGAGTATTGGTTTTAATTTTGCTTGCTTCTACTATCGTGTGCTTGGAAAACTCTTAGTTTGATATTAGATAAAGAGTATTGTGGGGATGGGATTATTTTAGTATCCTACAATGTGAGGCCCCCTTTCGATAGCTAAGTTGGTGCAAATAACTCCAATAACCTATGGTTTATGGTACCTATAACTATAGTTACTGGGGCTAATCTTAACCAACAAACATCACTGGGGGGCCTCACATTGTATGAAATCATACTAGATTCTACCATTTATAGATGGAGTGTCCCATTAAAACCTCTATTCACTTCGGGGAAAATCTCCCCATTGTATAACATTTCAATTAATGATGATACCCTCTGGTAATTTAACATAGCTATTGAACATGACCATAAAAATAGTTGATATTAGTTGATTTACCCATTAAAAATGGTGATGTTCCATAGCTTTTTCGTAAACGTTTACCAGAGGGTAATGCCATTCTAATGACACAGAATCCCATCATTCCATCCGAATGACTTTCGGGTTGGTGGTATACCTACCCCTCTGAAAAATGATGGAGTTCGTCAGTTGGGATGATGAAATTCCCAACTGAATGGAAAGTCGTAAATGCCATGTTCCAAACCACCAATCAGTTTTCCCCTTTCCAGACTTCTATTTCACTAGGTGATGTCCCATTCGTCCCATTCAACTCTCTAATGCTGTGGATGGAAGATATCACCGGTTGATTGGTGATAATAAACATCCCATGAGTGAGAGGCACACAGAGTCATAATGGTGCAGGAGTTCTTCCCAACAGTATATCCATTAAAAGAGCCTTGTTGGAATCTTAAGTCCCTTATGTTTGCTGGTTAACCCCTTTGAAAGGTTGGTATTTCCCAGTATTGTATCCCCATGTTCATATTTTGCCAAAAACAGACCTCTATTTCTAGGTGATTTCCCATTCATCCCAAATCGTTAATAGGTTGGTTTCAAAACCCCGTTAACTATAAGTTATATCTACCATAAACCATAGAATTCAGACACTTATATCTCAACTGAACGCTATCTTGGGGGGCCCATCCTGTATATAAATGGTGATATATTCATGAACAATTGATGAAAACACCGTTGATATAGCCCCCAGTAAGTAGGGAAATCTATATGGAATATTCCGGGATGCAATCTGGGTAAATTAAAATATTTCACTAACCTGAATTAAGGCCTCACATCTTGTCATTGCGGCCCGACCCCAGCGCCACACCTGAATTAAGGCCATTTGGGGATTATTTCCCTAAAATAAACCATGATGCCAGTGAGGGAGAACAGTGAAGTCGTTGAAATTTACCCATATATATAGACAAACCCGTGTATCATCATTTACCTCTTGTTAAAGGGGTAGTTTCAAACCCCTCTTTTTTCATCAACCAACCAATGGGAAAAGCTTCCCATGGCCACCGAATGCCACGTCCGTTGACCGGGGCACAGCATCAATGCAGCGCCGCCGCTCCGTGCGGTTCGCCGAGAACATGCCCAGCACCTGTCGGTGGGACAGTACAAGCTGGGGCCCCCAACCGTTTCATGGGAAATTCATGGGAAATCCATGGGAAACTCGTGGGGATTTCCATGGATTTTAAGCATCACATCTAGGAAACATGTTGGTTTGTATGGGATTTTACATACTTTGAGATTATTTTCGGGGAATTTTGTTGGTGGGGCACCGTTTAGAAAATAGTTGGTATGGTATGGATATTTTCTTGGGAGTATGAGAGGAATTCATCTGATTTATATGCGATGTTCCATGGGATTTGATGCGAGTTATCGCTGATTTGTGTTGGCTAAGTTGGTGAACATAACTCTGGTGACTATGATTTATTCTGATTGGTGGTTTCAACCCCTCTGAAAAATATTAGTCAAATGGGAGGATTATTCCCAATATATGGGAAAAAATAAAAAATGTTCCAAACCACCAACCAGTATTACATTTACAACATTATATAACTATAGCTATCGTGCTTTACAAAGCAACAAACATTTCACCGGGAAACGAGCACCTTGTGGCGGTGACTTGTAACCTGAAACCCATGGAGTTTTCCCCAATTCCAACCCATCGACCATGGCTAGTTCTGGTTCTTTGGGCTTCCAGGAACAACAACAACAACAACTGAGGAATTGAAGCCACGACAATTTTCACGGTTTTAAACATTTTAAACCATATTAATTATAGATGTAATAAACCATAGTTAACCTAGTTATCAAATGTTATAAACCAACTTGGCCCAAACGTTATATCATATACATCCTCCATAAACCCAAACGTGAAATCGGAGTTATTTGCACCAAGTTAGCAATTTACCTCACTGAAATGTCTGTTGGTCGGTAAGCTACAGAAATTGTGAACCAAAATGTACGGATATGTGCAGTTTGTCGAACAAGAACTTGTGATTCAATCAGCAAAAATTTGTGTTTCACCAACACAAATCAGGATGTAACCACCAAACAAAGGGATGTGACCCGTCAAAAAAAACAAAAATGCCCTGCAAGAAATGGGACTTAAGCAGCAACAATCCTTGTTCGTTGACTCCGTTTCTTTGTTGTTTCAATCACTACCATCTGGCTATTTAACAGCTAACCATGGAAAATCCCAACCAGAAATGGAGGTATTAATGCTGGGAAAATCATCTATTTCTATGGGCCATCTATACCATGGCTATGTTAGTCATAACCAGCGGATATTTCTTCTATAGTTAATGTGGGTAGATATAACAATATGGCATCTGGTAGATATATGGTATATGGTAGATATAGGGTTATGGTAGATATAACGAACTAGTTTTCATGGGGGTTATTTCATGGTTTATAAACCATTAACTATAGTTATATCTACTATAAACCTTTATAACCATTAACTATAGTTACACCTACAGGATGGTTATTTCATAGTTTTCTTGGTTTTCATCGGGAAATTACGAGACTTATTTTGTCAGTCGCAGTAGGATTGATCCGCCTAGAACTGGGCAACAACTCGCGGGACCCGCATTGCCCACGCGGGACCCAACAAATGGCATCTTGGCGGCAAAACGCAAGGTATAGTATCCATTCTTGCTAGCCAAATTCCAATTCCTATCACTTAAATCATCTTGAATCCACCATTTCTGTTTGTGGACCTCCATCTTTTTTCATCTTTTGCTACTTCAATCTCAATTTTGCTACTTAATCCCAGATCATCCCCATGTTTATTCGCAAAGTTCCTACCTGGTAATCAGCTCCATGGTTTGGAAATCCCCCCATTCACTTCGATGATTTCATGACAAAGGGCATCCTTTTCAATCCTAAATCGAATCATGAAAAAAACCCATTGATGGTGGATAAATCAGCTGTTATTTCTCATTAAACTATTTCCCACAAAAAAAAAAAAAACATTGTATATATTTCATTAGCATTATTGGCAATCCCACGAAAATTGTGTTTGCCACAGTCATTCACCAATCAAATACAACTATTCATATCACATCATATCGAATCCCTTGATTTCAAGATGAAAAAAAAAAACCTAATGGTTCGCCTATAGAAATCCCAATTTACGATGATATCCCATCAAATTATCCAAGTAAAGATGTAATTTCCATATGGAATCCCATGAATTATCGAGATGAAATCGGGACACTCAAAGAAAAAATCCATGCCCAAAAATAGATTAAATTTAATTTAAGTATCCATCAGTCATCATATATACAGTATATCATCATTTTTAACTATCCCATTCAATTAAAAATTTAATTAACTCAAATATAGATGAATTTCCCATTTTCCCATATGAAATCCCATGATTTTTCCATGAATCAGGGATTTTCCCAAACTTTCCATCATCCGCGCCTCTTTGGCTCCCACCTGGGCCCGCACGTCGGCGGAGCCGGCGATGAGCGTCAGGCAGACCTCGTTGAAGTCGTTGCCCGCGGCGTAGGTCAAGGGTCGGATGCCTTGGTGGCGAGAAATATCATGGTTTTCCATTCTTTATGGAATATACAGTGCCCATCTTAGATACCCTACAAAAAATGACAGATTCTTAGCTGGTTAGTAGATAATCCCATTGATATCAAAAGACTAAAGGACTAAAGTACCCATCTAAGATTGACCTAGTATAATGGACCGTTTATAGATCATTTATTTACTAAAATGGTGAATTTCAATAGCTATGATTTCCAGCCATTCATGGTGATGAGTAATATTTAGGTGAAATATAATGGATTATAGTGGATGATTATAATGAAATTGAGATTATGGTGCTAAATAGTGAAATATAGTGGATTATAGTGATCACATGGTGGAGAAAAATAGCATGGTGATTTCCATTTTTAGCATCCCTTTAGCTGAAATATCCCATTAAAAATTGTTGAATAATCCCAGATTCATCTTATATCTTGGTCTCATCACATTTAATGGGATGATAATATAATCTTGTGATGAGTATTGATGGGTCATATTTAGGTGAACATGGGGAATGATGAATATTGAGTATATTCTTTAATAATTTTAGTGGTGATGAGTGATGAATGATGGATATAATAGTGATTGATGGTAGTATTTAGTGGGATACCATTGATATCATGGCTGATATTTTATGGATCCTATCAGCAGATAAAGAAAAAAGATAACAGTGCCAATCTTAGATACCTTACAAAAAATGACAAATTCTTTGCTGGTGAACGTAGATAATCCCATTGATATCAAAAGACTAAAGGACTAAAGTACCCATCTAAGATTGACCTAATATAATGGACCGTTTATAGATCATTTATCTATTAAAATGGTGAATTTCAATAGCTATGATTTCCAGCCATTCATGGTGATGAGTAATATTTAGGTGAAATATAATGGATTATAGTGGATGATTATAATGAAATTGAGATTATGGTGCTAAATAGTGAAATATAGTGGATTATAGTGATCACATGGTGGAGAAAAATAGCATGGTGATTTCCATTTTTAGCATCCCTTTAGCTGAAATATCCCATTAAAAATGGTTGAATAATCCCAGATTCATCTTATATCTTGGTCTCATCACATTTAATGGGATGATAATATAATCTTGTGATGAGTATTGATGAGTCATATTTAGGTGAACATGGGGAGTGATGAATATTAAGTATATTCTTTAATAATTTTAGTGGTGATGAGTGATGAATGATGGATATAATAGTGATTGATGGTAATATTTAGTGGGATACCATTGATATCATGGCTGATATTTTATGGATCCTATCAGCAGATAAAGAAAAAAGATAACAGTGCCAATCTTAGATACCCTGCTTTGTTTTTGCTGGTTGGTAGACAATCCCATTGATACCAAAAGACTAAAAGATTAGTTTCTACCCATCTAAGATTGACCGCAAAATAATGGTGGACGTTCCTGGAATATACTGGGTTTTCTTTAGCGTAAATCTCCACATCATTGGCTTCATGTTCGATTTCCCATCTAAGTCACCTGAAAATATACGATATAATGTTAGGAAGAAAAACGTAAACCATCTCAAATTTTACCAAAAAATAGGTGGTAAGAAACCATCAACATTGCTTATGGGTGGTTTGTAACATTGCTTTACTGACATTACCATGAGTCATTGGTGGTTCCTATGTCTTTAAATGGAGGAATATGGAGAATCACGGATTGTGATGAAAAGAATCCTTGTGTGATAACTCAGTCCCCATTTGTGGATTATCCCATTTATAAATGCTGAACTAACCCGGGTATAAATGGGATTATCCCATTTAAAAAATGGGGTCTTGTAAAACCCCGAGCCCTTTCAAATTGTTTTTTCACACGTTATCCTTTTTTCTTATCGTTTTGCCAAGCGCTGGCTTCACACCTTGACCAAAGGATTCACATGAGCGAGGAAAGGGAAAAAGAAAAGGAAGAGTAAAGGAAGGGAAAGGAAAGGATAGGAAAGGGAGAGGGGAAAAGGAAAGGAACAGGAAAGGAAAAGAAAAAAGGAAAGAAAAAGGAAAGGAAAAAGTAAAAGAGAAGGAAAAGGAAGAGTAAAGTAAAGGAAGGGAAAGGGAAAAAGGAGAGGAAGAAGGAGAGGAAAACTATTTATACCACAAGACACTCAGTGTCCACAATTGACTGCAGATGCGGAGCCCTGGCATGTAGGTAATTCCTGAGTTCTCGCGTTGCCTCAAGAATTTGCAATTGTGGCACAACTTGCTCTTGTCCAAGTAAAGCCTCCAAATGCCCATTCTGGAACCCTGTGAACAGCAACTCGGAACGAGGGCCGCTTTCATCGCACTGATCCACATCATGGATCCTGACCTCAATGCCTTCCTGCGTGAGCGCTTCCCTGAGCAACACCAAAGGCACAGGATAATATCCCCCAGTGGCTAAGGCCAAGCGCAATTCAAACGCCAAGCCGTCACATCTTCTGAGGTTACCATCCTCTGGCCACAAATCGGCACTACCAGGTTCGAAATATTCTCCTTGTAAGCCCGCCAACGTATCCGCAGGCAAACCACCGCCATAACAACACCACCTCGAAACCGCTGTCATCTTCAAAGCGGCAACGGAGAACACCTCGGGCTCTCCATTGGTCAGGATACGTCGGATCAAGTCACACCATTGAGGTGGCATAGCCCACACAACAGGACCTCCTTCTTCGGGTTCTTTTTCCCCACCTGCCAGGTGAGGGTTGTTAGATTTTATCAGAGTTGTTCTTCTCCTCCTCCTCGTCCTCCTCCTTCTCCCTCTCCTCCAGCTTCTCCTCCACCACCTTTGCATCCACTCCCATGTTCACTTCTGCCTTGCCAACTCTTCGCCAAGCTCTTCGCCAACTTCCGCACGCAGTGGGCACTGCTGGACCTCAACTGCAAGGGTCTGAGCGCACTGGGCACCGCTGGACCTCAACCTGGGACCTTCCGAGCTCAGTGAGCACCGCTGGACCTCAACCTGGGACCGTCCGAGCTCAGTGAGCACCGCTGGACCTCTCCAAGCTCAGTGAGCACCGCTGGACCTCAACGGCCAGATAGAATGCCAGAAGATATGCCAGATAGAACGCCAGATAGAATGTCAGAAAGAATGCCAGAAGATATGCCAGATAAAGTGCCAGAATGTTTGCCAGTTAATATGCCAGATAGAATGCCAGAAGGTATGCCAGATAGAATGTCAGATAGAATGCCAGAAGGTATGCCAGACAAAGTGCCAGAATGTTTGCCAGATAGAACGCCCGAAGATTTGCCAGATAGAATGCCAGATAGAATGTCAGAAGATATGCCAGAAGATATGCCAGATAGAGTGCCAGAAGATATGCCAGAACATATGCCAGAAGATATGCCAGGTAGAATGCCAGAAGATATGCCAGATATGTAGAAACCCAATACAAGCAATCAACAATTATTATATAACGGTTATAGCCGCATTATTTCCCATTAAATCACCATTAAATCCTGCTAAATCCCTTTGAATCAACATGAAATCACCATCAAATCACCTCTTAAATCATCTTAGACACATGAACACCCATGAAATCTTAAAAATCACCGTATGAAATCCCAAAACTCTTTATATAAATCCCCGAAAAAATCACCATGAAGCCACCAAACGCATCAGAAAAAACCCATGGGATTCGGCTCACGCGCCGTGGTACCCAAGGTGTCCGGGATATTAGGATCCGCATCCAGCTCCAGCGCGCGCTTCACAGCGCCCAGATCCCCTCGACGGGCTAAGGTGAAGATGGCCTGGCCAAGGTGGTCGTTTGACGATGGCTATGCTATAAATTACATTTTTAGTAAAATAATATATATATATAATAATAATACTAATCATAATAATAATAATATTGGGTATATATCCATGTCTTTTTAATTACCACTATTACCATGATTCTGATATGATGCTATAAATTACCATTATGGCTGGTGAATATCCATTAGAATTGATATAATAGAAATTTATTGTGAGATTAGTATCGTTTGACTATGGGTATTATACTATAAATTACATTATTAGCATAATAATATATAATAATTCTGGGTATATATCCATGATTAATAATTACTTATATACCATTCTTACCATGATTATTATGTTATGCTTTAAATATGGTTAGTTTTTTTTAATTTTAATGGATAGTGGGATACTGATTAATAAAGTATCCATAAATACCCGTATATCTTACAAATATCCATATGAGAAAGTATCCATACATATATATATATATATCACCACTAAAAGATATTCTGCTATAAATTACCGTAAGATGGCTAGTAAATATCCATTATCATTGATATATATATATAACGGTAAACTATAGTGAGATGAGTTTGATATCAGTTATATACTTATATACTATACATTCTTACACTATGGGTATTATACTATGGGTAATGATATTATAATGAAAGCTCGGTACCATGATAAATATAATAAAACCTATGGGTAATGATAATGGATATTAATATACTATTGACCGACCATTATGGGTAAGATACTATCATACTAAGAAATATCCATGATAATTGATTTATAATGGTAATTTATAGTGAGATTAGTATCATCATGGTAATTGTTAATTGATATATAGTTGGTAATGATAATGGTATTCATTCTTATACTGTGCATCATGCTATTATAATGAATCCTAGGTACCATGATGATATATAATAAAACGGATGGGCAAACATTAAAAAAAAGTTTAAAAAATATCGTTTGACTAATAGATACCCATGACAATTGATATATATATATATCATGGTAATTTACAGTGAGAATAGTTTTATATCAGCTATACATACTATACATTCTTATACTTTGGGTTATTATATTTTAATGTGAGATGAGCTCACTATTATTCTATGAAGCTTATTATACCAGGGCTAAGTTTTTTATGGGTAGTTAACTATGGTGAAGAACTATACTATTGCACTAAGGTATGATACTATGGCACTATACTAAAGGTGAAGAATGGGTATTAATATAATATAGACCATTATGGGTAATATACTATTGGTTTCTATCGGTAATGAAATAAATATCACATATGGGTGGGTTTTCTATGACCATTACTATATTATGGCTAGTGTTTGACTATGTGTATGAAAACTGTATTAACTTATGATGTGACTTGAAGACAGTACTACCATTTTTGCACCGGGACCGGCCGTTGACGATATAGGTTTATGTTCAGTTTGGATTCTGCAGCATTCATAGTCTACCCTCTGGTAAACATACATAGCTATCAAAAAAGGCCATGTAGTTAGTTGATTTTCCCATAATGGTGGTTGTCCATAGTTTTGTAAACGTTTACCAGGGGGTATGGCTAATGAACTGCGTTTTTCTAGCGTAATAGTTGGAGATCCAAGACCCTCCAAAAGCATCGCGGTATCGCACGACATGGACCCAGCGTTGCGCTGAGCCCATGAGAACAAACATGGCATGATTTGAGCTACCGGCGCTGTTAAGGAACCTGCAGGTTTTGCCACTTTTTTGCTGTTCCATTGCCCGTCAGTTGAAAGTCTTGCCCGTCAGTTAGAAGGTTTGTCCGTCAGTTAAAGTTTTGCCCGTCAGTTAGAAGTTTTGCCCGTCAGTTAGAAGTTTTGCCCGTCAGATAGAAGTTGTGCCCGTCAGATAGAAGTTTTGCCCTTCAGATAGAAGTTGTGCCCGTCAGATAGAAGTTTTGCACGAAGGATAGTCTGATTTTCTTGGGGAACTGGGTGGGGTGGGGGGGGCAGGGGTGGGGGTTGTAACATGTCTCTTGTCACTTGCCGCACGCTCTTGATGCTACGCTGTAACATGTCTCGGGGGTGGGGGTTGTAACATGTCTCTTGTCACTTGCCGCACGCTCTTGATGCTACGCTGTAACATGTCTCTTGTCATTTGCCACACGCTCTTGATGCTACGCTGTAACATTTCTGTTGTGTTTCTTGACACACGCTCTTCATAGCAAAGACAAGGTTACCAAAAAGGATTCTCAACGAATCAAACAGTATGTGTGGTCCTTCGCCTATCGTTGGAACCACAAGGCAGACTTGAAAGGAAGTCTCGCCAAACTTGCGGCTAAAGTGAACAAACGCAGATGCTGAAACCCATGAAAACAGAAAAAGAAGAGCACGAAAAGCTGTCTTTCATTCCGTTTTCCAAATCCACATTTTGCAAATTATTTGGCCCAATAGAATTAAATGATCAATGAATAAATTCCTAGCGTAACGTGGGACGAAACCACCAGTTCTAAATTTAGGCAAAACAACGAAATCGTCACGGCGCCACAGTTTTAAACAAGTTCATGAAGAATGGATGACGTAAAAATCATAAAACAAAACGGGTCCGCTATCAGCGCCAGAACCTGGTTTGATAGTGAAACTTCTTGGAGGATCACCGTATGGATCACCATTTCTAGATCAAATACTTACAACATCTTATGACATCTAAAAAAACTAGTAGTTGGATACTTATCAAGTTACGTTTCATATCTTTTGATACTGATACTACGGTAACTCTTCGGTTTTCCGTAAAAACCGTAGCTCACAACCACGGGTTTTTTGCAGCACAGAAAGTGCTTTTTTTGGATTCATGGCTATGGGGTAAACGTTTACATCGATGTGGAAGTGAACATAGATTATTCACAAAAAAAAACGGATTTGTTCCACATCTATGTTCGTTTACAGGAGGGAAGGTATGGAGGTAGTTATGACTTATAAGTTCAAACACGAAGTTTTTAATATACTAGTATGTTCATTAATTGCTTTCTGAACAATGGTCGATTTACCAGGAGGTTTAGTTACTCAAAATGTGCATTGATTGTTGATTTAATGATAGCTAAGTTGGTTTGGTTCAGCAGGTAAACTGCATGGTTTATACTAGCTATATCTTGTAGTTACAAACCATCTTATAACTGGGGAGAAACTTGAAATCTGGCTATGGGTCAACACCTTGTACACATAGTGAACATGAAAATCACCAAACAAATTAGTAGTACGTATAGTAAGTATTGATCAGTCCTCATGTTTCAGGTATGTCTTCTAACTAAACTTGGAGCTTGCTTGTATTTGACCCCATTGTGGGTCAAATCCTTGCAACATGCCGAGTTTGTGGTGGCGAGGTAAAGATTTCTGTGGTGCTATGGACGTTGGAAGTGTCAGCTTTTGTCTTGGGAAAGTTATGAGGAAGTTATGACAGTTTTGTGAGTTGAAGATCATGTGTTTGCTGTTTGATTCCCCAATGTTTATTCTAACAGTTCTAACATGATCTTCTTTATTCTCTAAATAAATCATTTGTTTGTAAAATAAATCATTGGGGATCCTTTGTAAAATAAAATCGTAGCGGTCTCTATTTCTTCTTTATTCGTTCACCTTTGCTTTCCAAAATCTCCTAGCAATTTTCCGTAGCCCAAAGTTGCGGTAGCTTCTGTTCAAATACTCTGCCAAACAAAACCGCCATGGTCTTGGGGTACGATATATTCCATCGCAACGGCTGAATGACTGCACCCATCAGAACAATGTCCCAGTTTCAGAGCTGGCAAATCTTAGATACCGTATATTTTTAGCTGGTTAGATGAATTTACATTGATTTACACAAAGAGGATTAAGTTGTACCGAAAGTATCCATCACCAGTTTACCTTCATGTTTGATACTTAAGCATACTTAAACCTATCATTTTTGACCAGGTTAAACCATGTTGAACCAGCTTCAACCATCATCTTTGACGCATCAAAAATGGTGAAATCTCCCCAGCCATTCCATCACAAGAGACATGCACCGCAGCAAAACTGAGGAACCACGATGCAGGTAGCCATCTTTCTGATTGAACTGCACGACGACCTGCTTCACACGGGGTGCTTCGCCTTCATCCTCCATAACTTCAGCTATTTCATCCAAAGCGACAGGCGCATCCTCTGTGTCGGACACAAAGTCAACTGGAGCTGCAGTAAGGTGCGGTGCCTCAGTGATCGCTGCTGCAATTGCTTCTTCTCTGCACCGCATAATTGCAAAAGGAACATATCGAAAAAACATGTTGTAGCCACGATAGGTCACATACTGCTCCTGTTCATAAAGCAACTGATAGGCCATCTCGCCGTTGGACTTGGCCACACAACGGTTCATGCCGAAAGCCAATCGACGCAAAATGTTCAGCGCTCGGCTCTGCTGGGAAGTCATGCCAGGAGTTTTCTTTCCCTCCGCAGCCTCCCTGCTGCCATCTCCCAAGGCAGCTTCCTGCCGGCCTGCGATCCCAGCATGGCCTTGACGATACGATTCAAGGCCTTGGGACCGGTGCCTTCGCGACTTTTGAAGTTCTCGATCTCGCCCATGATCCTTGGATTGACAGACATAGGAATAGAATGAATGGGATTTCTCATCATGGGATCCCTAGTGATCTAGTGATATCATATATCATATATATATACATACATCCTGGTAAATTATAACGACCTCACTAGTCTCCCTCACTGGAAATCATGGTTTAGATATAGGGGAATCATCCCCAAATGGCCGAACTATTCAGGTTAGTGAAATATTACAATTTACCCAGATACATCCTATTAAATCATTATTATTACTATCATCATTATTATTATTTTTATTATTATTATTATATATATAGTTATGTCTTATATTATAGTGTATTATATATACATCCTACTCTATATCATGGGATAAAAGGGTGACCCTCATGGGAGTCACCTTGGCTGATGTGGCGATGATTTGTGGATTTGTGGACATACAAGGTGCGGCCCAACACTTATCTTTGTTGGTTTATAAACCCCACGACTACTATCGGGATATCTTGCATAGAACCTTAGCCCTTAGCCAATTTATTGTAAACCAAGTTAGCTATCTTGGCAGCCCCAACTGTAGGAATCTAATGGGAATATCCTGGAAGACAAAGGTGACTTAATGATATTTAATCGACATCTAAGAGGATTTAATTTAATGGAAATCCTATAGGAATCTAATGGTGATGTGGAGTTTTAAGCTGTGTAAACGACCGGGGATTAGAAAATGATGGTGCCGGGACTCGGGGAGAAGTTACCTCTATTTGAGGAACCATTGAAATGGTGATTAATATCATCTGGTTGGTGGTATACCTACCCCTCTGAAAATGATGGAGTTCGTCAGTTGGGATGATGAAATTCCCAACTGAATGGAAAAATAATCCAAATGTTCCAAACCACCAAATGGCCATTTATAGTGAGTTTTCCCATGAAAAATGGGGATTTTCCATAGTGTAAACGTTTACCAGAGGGTAATATCATGATTAAAATGGAGATGTGGAGATATGACATTTTATTGGATCTGTGGGCTTTTTTGGTGGAAACTTTATTACACGATACACCCACTTGGATTCACAACTTGGAATCAACTGAGCCAGAAACTGAGAGAAACAGAGCCAGCAGTCATCTTATTTCAAGGTATGGACATGGGCACAAATGTTGTTTCCTCAAAGATTCGGGATGCTGACCTAGAACTACCACTTTTAGAAAATTGATTGGTTGAACCCCATCAACGATAAATTTGCCCACCATAGATCGAGTCATCTAATCGTAGACCAACTTCGAACAACTTACCACATGTTTTTTCCGCCATTAAAAGAAGAATCATGAGACAGCATCTGTAAAATGATTCTATAGTTGTACTAACTATAGTTGTACTAAATGATTGGCTAATATTCTACAACTATAGTTGTCATAAATTCTGTAATATTTAGCGCAACTTGTAATAAATTTAGCCCAACATACTAACTCGTTGTACTCAAGATATGATAAATCTATTCTTACTACCCTCTGGTTATGACTAACATAGCCATGGTATAGATGGCTCATAGAAATAGATGGTGTTTACCTATTGAAAATGGTGATTTTCCATGGCTATGTTAAATAACCAGATGGTATAATGTGGGTAAAACAATCATAAACCATCACCCATCACCACGATTTTTATAGGTGGTATGTGCACACCATTCCCAGTCGTGTGTGGTAAAAATGGCAGCGTTTTACCCACATTAATCCCAATAATAGATTAATTGTTGGTTATAACCCACTATGGTTCCATTTAACTCCCAGTAAACCACCATTGTCCCATTGTTTTACCCACAATAGTGGCCATGGTAATATACTTGGACTTACCTTCTGGCAATTTAAGGTAACTATTAGAAATAACCCATGGAAAGTTCATTGATTTGCCAGTTTACCAGAGGCTACTTGGTTTGGGTGTTGGATCAGTGATGTGTTTTCGTGAAGCCCCTGAACTATACAAAAAGACCATTTGGGTTTATGGTGAATATATCCAACACTCTCCAACTAGTTCATGGGATTCATAAACACAATCGAGCTTCCGAACTAGAGATATATCATGATATATAACGATACATATATATATAGTAATATATCATGATATATCCACCACAAAGCCTACCATCTGGTTATTTAACATAGCCATGGAAGATCCCTTATAAATGGACGTTTTTAAGGGAAAATCATCTGTTTCTATGGGCCATCTATACCATAGCTATGTTAAATAGCCAGAGGGTAAACATACAAAAAGCTATTTTTTTAATGGCCCATGAAAATAATGGATTTACCCATTGAAAATGGTGATATACCCTCTGGTAAACTGTCCCATAACTATTGAACATCACCATTTTTTAATGGGTACCCTCTGGTAAACTCCACTATAAATGGGCCATTTTCAATAGCTATTTTGACATAACCAGAGGGTATCCCCATATATTCCCCATGATTTTCCCATAAAACCATATAAAACAACTAAATATATATATATATATATATTTTTCCTATAAAACCATAAAACCACCTATTTTAGGAAACCTCCATTTAAGTGATTTACCAGAGGGTATCCACCACAAAGCCCAGGATCTTTTTGTAGTCATCCGGATTCGTAGCATCCGCTTGCGACACATCGATGTGCTGCAACATCCTCAGGATCGGTTATGGGGTCATAGTGCTTCGTCTAACCCTCTGGGAAAACCATAGGAAAACCCACGGGAAAATGGGAAAACCATAGGAAAACCCATGGGAAAGTTTGGGAAAACCATAGGAAAACCCATGGGAAAATGGAGGTTTACCCTCTGGTTAAACTAACACTTCGCGAACTGGAAAATCACCATCTTTAAGTTCGGTAAATCAACATAAATCAACTATGTTCATGAGCCGTTTGAGCCATAGCTATTTTGACATGACCAGAGTGTAAGTGGGGGGACCATCTTGTCATCTTCATCCCAAATATCAGTATATAGACCACTTGTTTTGATCTCCATATCTTTGGTCACTTTGTTCAAGAATAGAATGTTCATGTTCCCAAATTTCAAGGGCCATTTTTGGTAAACCGTCGATTCCATCGACAGTGAATCTGTCAGGGTGAAGTTCCTGCAATTTGTCACCACGAAGAGTTGGTTTCTGGAGCCAGTTGACTTCCTGGTCCCCAAAAATGTCCCTATGATTATTCTGGGATTGCGGAATTGTTTGATGATTATCTTGCATTGTTTGGACAATTAGATTCATTGTCTGATTCCTGCTTCCCTTGTAATTGCACCCAGAATACTGGGTAGTATAACCCCCTATGTTAATAAAACAATTCCCCATATAGAGGGTAATATAATCCCCCGGAACAAAAAACATCAACCAACCATCACTTATCAGCTAATTCCCTTATGCTTGATAGTTAACCAGGTAACCCCCTGTACCTCATGGTTATCTTCCCATTAATCAAATCGCGAATTGACAATCCACCAATCATCATTGAACAATAAGTTACCAATTGTATCCACAGATTGTTGATTGTTTGCCCAATCATGGATAAATCACCATAATCACCCTGAATCACTAGGCCAGGGCTTTTTTACCCATGATTTACCCATGGAAAAACGAACGCGGCTCTGTTCGCTGAGATGATCTTAACTAGTATGTGGTTGGGAAACTCTTGGTAGCTCTTTAGCTCGCTTCCCAGTTCATAGGAACTATGAATAGCCAAATCGCTCCTAATCGCTCGCTCCTTAGCTCGCTCCCTCCTAACCAACTATTATCTTGGTTATAACTATCAATATTATAACTTATAGATATAATCCAACCCGAAGATAGTTATAATGATCTTCACTTCGCAGCGCTCCAAGCATCTTAAAGATGTGGAAGACCCAGGAATCCTTCTCCTAGCGCCAGGTCAGCCAGGTCAGCAGCTTTGCAGGGGAGAAAATTCGCGAGGATCTATACAGGATGGCGCCCCCCAGTGATGTGAACGTTGGTTTATAAACCATGAAATAACATATTATAACCACCATTAACTAGTTCGTTATATCTACCACAAACCAGAGTTAATTCAACCACTTATAAGGCAACTGAACGCTATCTTGGGGGCCCCATCCTGTATGGGGGGTTCCATAAATGGGGACACCCTAAACAAATAGATGGTGACAATGGAAAATCCCCATCTAAAAATGGATTTAAGGGTACGCCCACGACTTAGGAAACCTCTATATGATTTATATGTGATTGATGATAGGATATAGGATCCTGATAGGTAAGTCGTGAAACTTCACTAACGGATGAATTTTCTGATGCACATAGCGAAGTGGTTAGATCTTCTGAACAAACTTCATAGATTTCATAGGGGGCCCTTCATGATCGGTATGGAAATCAAAGGACTATCTGGCACTAAGAATAATGGCAATATCATAGGAATATACAATTTCATACCGGCGATACTGGCCCCCAGGATAGCGTTCAGTTGCCTTATAAGTGGCTGAATTAACTGTGGTTTATGGTAAATATAACGAACTAGTGATTGGGGGTTATAGTTATATTCTGGTTGGTGGTGCAATAACCATCTTGAAAAATGATGGAGTTCGTCAATGGGAAGGATGACATCCCATATATGAAATGGAAAATAAAAGCCATGTTTGAAACCACCAACCAGTTGTTAGTGGCACTTATTGTTATATTATACCTGTATTGTTAGAGAAACTGAACTATACCTCATGGTTATATTCCCCCATGATGGTAACAATAATAGGAATATCATGGGAAATGTGTCACAGGGGAATCGAATGTGACATATATGGAGGACATATATGGACATCTGGTTGAAGTGTAATAGCTCACTAACCTGAAAATTGCTGAAACTTACAGCCATTCGGGGGGAATCGCCCATATGTTTCGAAAACGAAAAAACATACTTCTAGCGACGTCACATTGAGATCACTACATATAATTTCCTCCAGAACTATATGAGGGTTTCCATAATAGTCCTGGGGCTACCCCAATAGCTGGATGGTCTATTTCATGGAAAATCCATGAAAATCCATCTATAGATGGATGACTGGGAGTTACCCCATTTGAGGAAACCCCACATGAAACCTGTAATCATTGTGGAACACAAGTTCTCACTGCTGGCACTTCAGGATATCCAAGTCACATTCGAGTTTTTCGATCAGTACAAGTCTGAAACGACGATGGCTAAATGTTGACCTACCACATTTTGGGGATATATTGGGAACTGGTTGGTGGTTTTAACCATCTTGAAAAATATTAGTCAAGAGTCAATAGGAATATATCATATATTGTTAGTGGCACTTATAACTTATAGTTACTGGTTGCTGGTATACCTACCCCTCTGAAAAATATGAGTTCATCAATTGGGATTATGAAATTCCCAACTGAATGGAACAATAATCCAAATGTTCCAAACCACCAACCAGTATATAGCCAGAGTTCCGGAAAATTGGCATGCGTATCCCCAATTTTCCTGAACTCTACCTACCTTTGCTTCATCACTGGGTCTTTCCATGGCTTTCTCCAACACCAAGACATACGAATTGTTTGCCCGGTGTGCCCTAGAATTGTCATGGAAACATGGGCGAATGATGATAATTCATTTTTGATTGGGGGTTACCCCACTTCAAGCCATATCTTTAGTATTGGACTTGCTTAGGCCTGGAACAAAACAATAAAAAACACACAATTCCAGTAGATTCCCTGTAGAGAATGGTGGGTTATGAAATGAGGAACATGAAAGATCGCCTTGAACAAAATCCAGCACAATAGTCTGGGCAAAATAAAACCATTCTCAATTTAAGAGTAAAGCATTTTGGGAATGAGTCGCCTTATTCACCACCGTTTCAAGCAATAAATAATAGCTGGTTGGTGATAGTCAATACTATATATATATACACATATACACATATACTGTAAGATATGTACCCATACAATACCAATATCTTCCCAGTGCAATAGCAGTATACTTCCAATACAATCCCGTTAGAACCCCAACATCATGCCAATTCCATATAAACCACCATGTGGGTGTGTTTGAAAATCGTGTATCCCATTCCATCGGAGAATGATCAATGTTCCCTTTTTCAAAGGCCAAAATTTGGGGTATACCCTCTGGTAATTTGTTACATAACTATGGAAAATTACCATTTAGTTCGTGATTTTTCCCATGAAAATTGTGATTTTCCATAGTTATGTTAGTTTACCAGAGGGTACACCATTTTCAGACACACCTATTTCTGAATTGCAAACTATAAATCGTACATTGCTCCCAATATAATCCCAATAGATTCCATATATATATATACAAAAGTCAGTCATATATTCCCATTATAACCCATATCAACCCAATATAAACCCATATCTGATCAACAGATTCCACATAATGTCAACCCCGGATTAATAAACCCCTAGGCTGTTTAATTGGAAGGGTACCATTTAAGTATCAGATGAAATGACTATTGGGGGAATACCCCCCTAATAAACCATGGTTTATTAATCCGGGGTTGACATTATCCCCTACCATCCAACCATTCCTTTGCGAGATCCCCACCATTCCACTCCAGCCTTGGTTTCTTGCACGACTCCCACCAGAGGACCCAAGCGGAAGTTCAGGGTGAAAGGTTTCTCCAAGCTATGCGTGAGATAGACCTGGCTCCAAAGGTCCCCAACTGGGTAAACTACCCTCTGGTAAACAAACATAATGGACAACTGGTTGGTGGTTTCAACCCCTCTGCAAAAAAAATAGTCAGTTGGGGTGATTCTTCCCAATATATGGGAAAAAAATGTTCCAAACCACCAACCAGTAATGGACAATCTATACTTGGAATAATCAGCAATGGGAATTTCAGGATCCTAAAATGGAGGTACCTACCATATATAAGGCCTATTTTTCAGGCCTATGTAAGTGAATATCTCCACAAAAAATGCCTTTTGTGGTACAGTACCTCCATTTTAGGATCCTGAAATTACCATCCAAATCATGTTTCATCATTTTTCTTGGAACTTTCTGTCATAGAACGTTCTTCTTGATCCTGAGTTGATCTCAAGTTTCAAGCAATACCCTCTGGTAAACATACAAAAAGCTATTGAACATGGCCCATTTATATTGGATTTACCCATTGAAAATAATGATTTTCCTGGGTAAACTGTCCCATAACTATGGAAAATGGACCATATTTAGTTCGTTGATTTACCCATTCAAAATGGTGGATCTTTCCAGTTCGTTTCTTGTAAACTTTTACCAGAGGGCCTCACACCGTCACAGAAATACCTGCTGAATCCTGCTGATTCTCCCACCCGGTTTTTTTATTGGTGAACTAACCCACTTACTGAGGTAACATGAAACAAAATACACCGAAAATGGCGGTATCATCGGGTACTGTACCCATTTTTGATCCATAGCCATATATGTTTTTTCACGGCTTCTTGCACAATCAATAAGTTTAATAAGCAAACAATGCCGGGTAATTTACTATGGAGAATCACCCCACCCAGTGACTCCCTAGTAACCCAGTTAAATAACCCATGTAGAAGTTAAAACCAGTTATAAATTTATAAGTTATACTCAAACTATAAGTTGTAAGTAGGATAACCCATGCCAACCCGCTCGTTACTTGGAGGATCATCCCAAGGATCGATCCTTTTTGTATTTTTGTGGTGAAAATCACCCTGGTTACAAGTCGTCCCCATTTCGTGATTTTCTACCATGTGCAATACAAGTATACAAGTTGTAACCCCTGTTTTGAACCAGCTACTAGACTAATCTACTAATTGTGGGATCCACTGATTGTTTAACATATCTATCGAAAATCACCATGTTCAATTGACCTTCCAACTACGAGGTTTAACGGTGCGGTTAGTCCAACCTCATGCCTGTACTGAACCCCATCATGTCACTGCCTAGCTCTACTGCCTTCCAAAGAGAAGATACCCTCTGGTAAACATACAAAAAACTATTGCATTTATAGTTGATTTACCCATTCAAAATAGTGATTTTCCATAGTTATGGGACAGTTTACCAGAGGGTACCGGCCTTTGGGGATTCCAAAACGTTCCCTTCAGCTTGCCAGAGGGAATCCTATAGATAGCATCCAGACGGTCCACACAAAAAGAAAACTCACAACGTGCCACACCAGATTTTCCCATTGGCAAAAATTTTGATCAAACCATCAAACGAGTCGCACTCTGGTGTTCAGACAGCTTCTGGCGGATGTTAATTGTTTTTTTTTGCAATAAACAAATTGACGTACTTGCTGATTCGGAACATCATATTCAGCAAGCCCAGGAAATCGGAGCTCAACTGAAAATAAGAAAATGTCGTGCTGCTGAGCTGGATCAAACCATTATGTGGTTATTTCACGTTATTTCCCACATACGCCATCTAGAAGTACCAGCCAAACATACTGATACACAATGATACACGCATATCTAGACATTCAGAATTGAGCATTGTTCAAAATCCTCTGTTGTCCCTTCCCGCTGCGCACGGTCTCGGGGTGACACCAACCGAAGTGAGCATCACACCGCTTTCAGTGAGATGAAAAAGATGACCAGAAAGTGTGCGGTGTCATGTCAGGTAGTTATATTGATTGGCTAACAGTAGTTCCCATAGCGGATTACAATTATCCCAATGCTGTTGTTGGTTAATAGGATTATTCCCATAGCTTCCCCATGGTTGCCCCGTTGTTGATAGGTTCCCCCTAATGGGTTAAGGTAATCCCCAATATATAAAGGGTAGTATAATGATCAATCATCCATCATTCACCAGTTAATATCCACTTATAGTCCCATAAAGGGGATAAAGCTTAAATATATACTTAAATATTTATAGGCTTTTAAGCCATTTTAAGCATCAACAATATGGGAATTAACAATATGGGTTTATATTGTTGATGCTTAAAACCCAAAAAAAATCTAGCGGCCAAATCCAAAAATGTGGCGTCTCTCAGCGCTCACTTTGGACTATGCTCCATAGGCCACATTTGTTCCCCAACTCTTCATTGAGGATAATGGAGCATAGTCCTGCGAAAAATTGAAGAATAAATGTGTCCTAATCCAATAGTAGACCAACTTTGGATTAGTCCCTAACTATAAAACCAATCCGAATTATTAGAAATATACCAACTTTGGTTAATGTGGCCTAATCCAATAAAGTTATTTTAAATCCAACAATGAACCAAACCGAAATACTACCAGAAATTGGAGGTTGGCATTGGGTCTACCATTCTCAGTTGGTTACGTTCCATCAGAACTGATAATTAGACATATCTATTAACCATAGAATAGCCATATAGATAGATCATTCACCGAAACTTATTCTGTTTACAAAGATCATATAGATATAGTTACCCATATATAAAGAATAATAGATGATTGCCCATATGGAGGTTCCCTGAAATGGTGGTACCCTTAAATTATCTATCTTATTTTCGGTTTTTCCATTATAAACCAACCAGCTATTGGGGATCCTCCATTTATGGAACCCCCCCATCTGTGTCATTGTAGAAACAATAAATCAACGCTGGTCATGGCTCACGGGTCAGATGGTAATCACCCATATAAATAAATGAATATATGTATATATAATATAAGATATATTTATATATGATACGTATATATATATATATATATATATGTGTCCATTCTCGTTTAGAATTGGAGGGTAACCCTTCTGAACTTACCAAAAACACCGGTCGCCCCTGCTTTCGCCCCGACGTTTCGCCTCATAGATACACCAAATCCGGTCCAAGGCGGTGGCTGCTTGGTTCCTCGGTTGGCCAAGGTGCCATATATGATCCTTCGGTACGACAGGAATAGAAAAAAAAAGATATGGGTGCCGTATGGAATACATCTTTGGATATGTATACTTATGTGTATATATATATATATATGGGATCAAAGATATGGATAATGGTATCTCACATAATATGTATGTATATATATATATATGTATGTATATATATATATATATGTATGAATATATATATAATGGGGTATGGTAGATGTAACTATAGTTAATGGTAGTTATAATGGTTTATAAACCAACTTATAACTGGGGGGGGCCCATCCTGTGGCGGAGTCGACAGTTGGAGCCTGATAAAAAAGGGCGGCTCTCGATGCTGACGATGCTGACTCGATGCCAGAGCCACAGCCTGTTCCAAATATTGACAGAAAGCACAATGGTTGAACACCAGTAATACATTCTAGGGGTTATATCATGTTATTATCATGTTATATCCCAACTTGCGGTGAACATCTGGTGGATCCCACCATTCTGTTACAAGCAGATCTGGTTGACCCTAGTAATTGGCCACCACATTTACCATCTTACACAACATGTGTTTTTACCACCTGCCTAGGCGGCAAGAGATGGCACTGGAACTCCCCTACATTGGTGAATCATCTACACAAGATGGGGCCCCCAATCATATAGGCAACTTGGTTTATAACTTCAATAACTGGTATGTACACATATTTGGACCAGATACCCTCTGGTAATTCAACATAGCTATTGTTAAAATTGCCATTTATATACAGTTCATTTGCCCATTCAAAATGGTGATTTTCCACAGCTATGTTCGTTTACCAGAGGGTAGATCATCCGAATGGGTTATAATACTATATATATCTATTTACTATAGTATGATCTGTGATTATTCCCAATGTAATATACCCATTATATCACTATTACAAAAAAAAATAATCCCCATGTACAGATGGTTGTCCCATTAATAGTGGTTAAAAACACCCAAAGTCCCTAACATAACTATGGAAAATCACCATGTTTCATGGGAAAACTCACTATAAATGGTCATTTTCAATAGCTATGTTAGTTTACCAGAGGGTACATCTGCATTGTTACATGGGCCGCGAGTTCGCCATCTATCGCCATCTGACAACTGCTCTGGCAGCCAGGTCCAGGACCACGAGCCCCAAAAGGAGGACCATCCCAGGGATCGTTTTACACCAAACGGATATGTATGCATGTATGTACATATGTAAATATGTATATGTAATATGTATATATATATAATATACAATTATATATAATTGTATATTATATATATATATATTATATATGTTTACATATACAATTGGTAAAAAAAATCTATGTAATCTAGATGTATGGGATATCCCACTGAAAATTCGAGATATCTCACCACCCGGATGATCCATGGCGATCCATGATGCTCCGGCTCCAGGCACGCCCTATCACGCCAAGGTTCAAGTTCATCACGGTTCCCTTGCAGTTGGGGGAATTCAGCGCCAGGTAAAAGGGGCTCTTCTGAAGCGTTTCTCCTGTGGCAGCTGTGGATTGTGGTGGATTTTTTGAAGTGTGAAATTCACCAAAATGCTGGGAAAAAATCTTATCATACTCGGTGTATACACAAATACAGTTGCAATGGGATATGATATATATATATATATAAAGAGTCTATTGAGTCTATTGGTATATATTCAACAAATTATGGTTTCCTGATTCATGGGTCTAATGGGTATCTGAATCGTGATATAATGGGGGTGTAGGATATAACACCAACAATATTGGAAGTGGGTCTGTATACCCCCCGCATTGATCAGGAAAATGATGTGGACCCATATCGCAATGGGATTTTTCAACTGTGCAGGAAGCGCCCCCTAGTCATGTTTATCGGTTTATGTTACTACATCCCCAAAAAAATTAAAACAGGCGGCAAATCTTGGTAAATTATAGGTGTGTCTTAATCCATCTGCTAATATACGAAGGCTCAACTGAGTTGAGTAGTGTTCAAAACCCTTGTGTCAAGGAGCCACTTTTCAAAGTTTCAAGAGCTGTGACGATATGCCTTGATGCGCTCGATGCAACAGTGTTTGCAACACTTTTTTTCCCACGAAGATGGGTGGGGAAAGCCCCAATTCTTTGGCCTTTCACATCTTTCAATTCGCATCTTTCAATTATGATGACAGTGATCAGCCATGAATTTTGTACCCTATTGTCAAACGTCGACCCATGTTTTCAATGGCCATTTCAGGATCCTAAATTGGAGGTACCTACCATATATTTTTGGCCTATCTTTTAGGCCTAAATTTCAGGGAATATCCCCAGAAAATATGGCCAAACATATGGTACGTTTACGTAGCTCCAATCAATCGGATCCTGAAATTACCATCCAGCTATTGGGGAACCAAATGTTTGGACACCTAAAAATATCTGCCACGAACCCAAACGGCCAAACGTTAGTGGAGTTATAAGCAATCCCCTTGATGTTTGGCCTAAAAATAAAAACAATCTTGGATGACGTACGCGCATCGACACCTTGGTGGAGGATCATCCCGTGGAGCCCTGGTACTTGGGTTATTCCCTGATAGTATGGATGAATTAATGGAAAATCATGGGAAACTATGGGAAAATCATGGGAAAAATGAGGTAATGATGGTTAATGTTGGTTAATATACTGTTAATATTAATGGTTAATATTAATGGTTATTATATGGGTAATGATCTTGAATAATATGGTTTATCAATGATTGCTGGTTGTTGGTTGAGCCACCTACCCCTCTAAAAAATGATGGAGTTCGTCGGCTGGGATTATGATTCATTCCCAACTAAATGGAAAGTCATAATCCATTCATGTTCAAAACCACCAAGCAGCTAATCTACTAACTGTGTTTAGAACCCCAGAACCACCAGCTACTAGACTAATCTACCTGGTTGGTGGTATACCTACCCCTCTGAAAAATATGAAAGTCAATGGGAAGGATGACATCCCATATATGAAATGGAAAATCAAAAATGTTTGAAACCACCAACCAGCTACTAACTGTGGTACCCACTGGTTGTTTAACATAGCCGAACTCTTGTAGAACCCCCTATGGATCTGGCGCAAGCACTGAGGAGCAGACGGCTCTCTCGGTGTGCTAAATACTGAGATTGAATTTAAATTTTCAAAAACATGTGGACATAATTGATACATTATAGTTAAATGATGGTTGGTGATAGATACATTCTAGTTAAATGATGGTTGATGATAGGTTTGAGGTAATTTACGCATTCTAGCTATTACTTTGTGATTAGCATAAATAACATATTATATATATATATAATAGTACATGAGTTGGGAAGCCCGGTCTTAAGCAAGAATATGATGGCTTGGTGCGCCAAGCATCCCATGGATCAAATTTTCCCATCTCTTGAAACACTAATTGGTTCGTAGGTTTCCCTATGGGTAAATTCATAATCCCAAAAAAAAAGGCATTTCATATATCAATTGCCATATGAAAACCGAATGGTGATGCCCTGTTTAATTGATATGTTTGATTGGATATAACTCCATATTTCATATCCAATCAAAAAGGGCATTTTTAATGGCTGACAATTCAAAGATCTGCTGCCAGAATTGTGCGAAGATGTGGAAAAGTCACAACCCCAAAAAATTCCTGGTTTCTCGAAAAAATTGTGGATAAAAAAATTCAGCAACCACAAAAATAAAGGGGTCGTGTTCTCTTGGTTGGATTGAAATTACCCTCTGGTAAACGTTCACAGAACGAACTGGAAAGATCCACCATGTTTCATGGGAAAATCCACTATTTCGACGGGGCCATTTTCAATAGCAAACTGTTGACATCACCAGAGGGTGCTGGTGGTGTTTTTTGTGGTCAAGTTTTCCAACCCTCAAAACCATCCCCAATAGGGGCTTGTGAAATTGGCTACAAATTGAAAATGTGCTTCGCGCCACAACGGCGTGCAATTTTTCATCTCTCCTCTGGCCAGCTGGCTCCGCACCCGCCGCTTTAGCGAGCCTACTTTTCGACCCTCCGGAGCCACAAATCATTGGAAAAAACACAGTGAATCGCGACTTTCCTACCTTTTCGCGCATCTCCATCTTCTTTCTTCTTACTGTTTCTCTTCTACTCTTCTCTCTTCTGATCTTTCTCTTCTCTCTGCCTCTGCCCTGCTCTGCTTTTCATCTGTCCATATTGTCGGAAGTTTGACTTCTAAACTTCCTTCGACCATGATGGGTGTCCACTCTGGCTGCAGAACGCCTGCATGTGGAGCTATGCTTACCTGCCATATTTCTGCGCTAGTGATGCAACTGGACACGGCAGTGGGATGACTGTGGTATACCGCCAGTGAAAGTCGCGCCGGCCACGCCGTTAGCACTGCGCCTGGCCAGGCGTTTTTGTGCTTTTTACCCAACAGGAAGCGCTCAAGGAAGGCCTAGACTCTTCGCCGCTTTGGGTCTTCGATTTCTGGATCCTGGAGCAGCATCTACAGACTCAGCAGAGCCCCACAGGGTTTGAGGGTTGAGTCCCATGCTGCTGGGGTTAAGCTTGAAGAACACAGCTGCTCGCGAAAAACAATCATTGAATAAAACCAAAAAATCGCCCAAACAACAGTCTATGTTGCGGCTGTTGACTCAGCGCCTTGCCATCGGCAGATTGTGAGAACCAAGTCTTTTGTTTAAGAGTGTTCTGGACCAAAGGCGGGCAGCTTAACTGATGTTCTGGAAAACGAAGCAGGACCTGTTTCAACAGCTCAGGCGTTTAATATAAAAGGTACACCGCTAGCATCACCAGGGATAATCAAAAGGTTGGTCCTGGCCGCAACCCCAGACGCACAAACTCAGATGATGATGATGATGATGATGATGATGATGATGTTCATGTTAATGATGCTAATAATAATTCATTAATGACGGTGATGATGATAGTGCTGCTGCTGCTGCTGATGGTTGTAATTTGGTGCTGATGTTGCGATGCACTAGTGCAAATTCAAAGAAGTATAATGGTTTGAAATGTCGTTAGATGGAAGATGGAAAGTTGCCTTTAGCGAATAGTTATATTACTGATGTGGCTGGTGGTCATCCCGGGCCCCAGCTGCACTCCCCGGCCTAGTCTTCCTCTTCCTCGTTCAGCCTGAACAGGCGCCTGCGTAGCTCGCCCACTAGGCGGGCCACCCTGCGTGGCCACCCCCTTTGGTTGTGGTGCCGCCGCAGGTTGAGCAGGCACCTGCGAGCGGCCCTGTGGACTCGCCGCTTCAACCGCCGGACTCTCAGGAGTTCGCGGACGGTGCCGTCGACGATCTCCTTCGATGGGAGTCAGATCAGGGCGGGTCCAATTTAAGGGGCCTAGAATTGTACAGATAGGCATAGAAGTGATAAAACCTACAGATTTAACGCTTTTCACTTGCAAATGTGTTTCTTGCCACAGCGAACACAATGTAAAGAATAACAAATGTAAACGTGGAAAGCACCAACGCAGAAAGCGCAAAGGCGGCCAAATAGAAAAACATTACCAACATCGAAAAACAGCAAAACACTTCTAAGACAAGAAAAAGGCCAACAGAAAAGGAAAAGGCCAACAAAGTAAGGAAGCAAGCAGCAAAGAAGCCAATGAGCAGAAAAGCAAAGAAGCAAAGTAGCGGATAAGCGGGAAACAGCATGAAAAAGCAGAGAAGAGCTTCAAAAGACATGCAAATGCAAGAAAACATGAAAAAAACATAACTGATTGTTTCCTTAATACCCAATTCTCTCATGAACCCGTCCAGCACCAGACCACTACAGGAGGCCTCGAGTCTCCGCTTGGTGCCACGCGGCAACACCTTTCTCCGTTCTCGCAAGTACTTCTCTCTTGCCGCTTCATCTCCTGTGCGCCATCCAGCCGTCACCACCCATGTGATCCCGTTGCCCGTACAGCACCTATCTCTGTGTAGAACCTCTGGTACTGGTCCGCCGTGAGGAAATAGGCGTCTCCAGGCTCCAGGAATACGAGGTAGTTTCCCACCCTCAGCATGTACTATGTCCGTTTCAATTCCCAAACTGAAGTGGTGACCTAAAAGATTCACAGGCAGGTGCACTTTAAAATGCCTCGAGAACGTGGTACAAAGTGTGGTGCATGGATGTTGGCCCTCCAAACCTATGCCGGGGGGGTTCATACGGAACTCAACTCAATACATTTTGTAAGGGGAATCTGAACGGGATCTGTGATGATCATTTGGCATGCTAGGTTCCCTGTGGAATGAACGGCGACCCGTGATATACAGAAAAAGGGGCCCCAGTCGAGCTCGCGTGCTAAGTTGCCTGAAAAAGGTGGTTGAATTCTATGGTTTATGGTAGATACAACGAACTAGTTCATGGTGGTTTTGTTATGGTTTATAAACCCACAAACATCACCGGGGGGCCCCATCCTGTACGTATATACATTTACAATATATATTTTATATTCCCTAGCAATGGGATAATGTAAAATGGCTCTCAAACGGTAAGTTGATGGGATGGTTTATGGCATTGGGTTTACCACATTACATCAAATATCAGGTTCATAGCTCGGAAAATCGGCTATACACTGGCAATTTTTCCACAGGATTCAGTTGTTTTTAAGTTCCATTAACTATAGAAAAGTTGTTATAAATCCTGATTATTGAAGTTACATTCCCACTATAGATCTGAAGTGCTGATTATTGAATTCCGGCATTACAGTATATAACCATTTCATATCCCATTGTCTTACTGGTGCTAAACGCAGGGAATTTTCGGGAATGATCCACTGGCTAACTATCAATTTCATCATCCCAGCAACCCCCAGCAACCCATCCATTCCCTACGTTTAGCACCAGTAAGTGAATGCTGTTGATACAATTCATCAGATATAGAAATATGATGAAATATGCTGAAATATGATGAACTTTCTGCATATGAAACCATTAAATTACTAAATCTTTCCATCTTTCCCACGCCCTGTCGGACCGTGTCCTAGCTCAATCTGATGCTGGTTGTTGGCAAAGGCGCAACACCAGTACCTTACGGCGGCACCGCGCGGCAGATTGGACCTTTAAAAGGAGACTCGTGCCATGGAAAAAAAATCCCCGGAAACCTATAGACAAATTGAAATAAATCTTCTAAAAAAGTCCTAGAGATTTACCAAGACTTACCAAATTAACGAACTATGTTGTTTTCTTGAAGTTCAACTCCTGGTTCAATCCCTCATTCAATTGCCTAAACGGCTGATATCTTCTGGTTGTTCTTGACACACATTTGTCGCCAAACATCGCCATGGTCACCTTGGTTGGTCAAATTTTATTTTCGTTGTGTTGTCAAAAGTATGGTCAAATGGTGCCCCTCAGTGATGTTTGTTGGTTTATAAACCCCATGAATACTATAGTTATATCTGCCATAAAACATAGTTATGGGAGTTATTTGCACCAACTTAGCTAACGAACTGGGGCACCACCTTGTATGGTCAAATCCCTTTTGTGCAAAATTACCTCCTGGCAATTTAACACGGCTGGCTGGAAAATCCAGCAGATAAACCCGAACGGCTGTTGAATTGCGGGGGGTAATATTTCAGTAGCCATTTATTACTATTAGGGGGAACCACCACAATTAATCAAGCAGGGTCAACCAGGCTGGTTGGTGGTATACCTACCCCTCTGAAAAATATGAGTCAGTTAGGATTATTATTCCCAACTGAATGGAAAAATAAAAAAAAACATTCCAAACCACCAACCAGTAATGTATCGGCACCAGGGAATATGTCAACCCTGGATTAATAACCCCCTCGGCTGTTTAATTGGGAGGGTACCATGTATGTACCAGATTGTGACTATGTGGTTTATTTATCCGGGGTTGACATTAATCATCAAACGAAGTGGGATGGTTCTCCATTTCCAGGTGAAGTGACCGGTAAATTCATGGCGGCCATGAATTGCGATATGCCACTTTCGAAAGAAAACAACATAATCCCACCAGTAGTCCGCCACATCAATCACATTTAAATGCCTTTAATCCACCATATTCAAATCCAAAATACGTGATTTTCACAGCTATACACTGTATACACCTCCAGTTAATTTACTGAAGTACATTTTCCTATATTTTCCCCATGGAAATCTCATCAAAAAAATACCTTTTTTGTGGGTCCCCAGCTATATGACCAATTTTGAAAAAAAAACCTCTGGCCGGATCCTCGGATCTACATCCCAGCAATGCTTACGTGGGTTCACTGACCCATGAATTTACCCTCTGGTAATTTAACATAGCTATTGAAAATGACAATTTATAGTGGATTTTCCCATCAAACATGGTGATTTTCCATAGTTATGTTAGTTTACCAGAGGGTATCTCATCCCATAGAGGAGATGAATCTCATGACTAATAGAAATATGGGATAATCATGGATAACCTACAGGATGGGGCCCCCCAGTGATGTGAATGTTGATTATTTATAAACCATGAAATAACCACCATTAAGTATAGTTATATTGGGAATTTTATGACTGTCCATATATTGGTATACATATATATATCTCCATTCTGGATCCAGTAGGAATATCAATATAGCTAATGGTCGGCTAATGGGGTTGCTGATCATGAAAATGATGGGATTTATCCCATATATACCTGGTTGGTGGTGACTGGAACATGAATGGATTATAAATCTTCCATTCAGTGAGAAAAATTGCATCATTCCAACTGAATGGGAATAAAAAAAGGATCCGATTGATTGGAGCGACGTAAACGTACCATATTCCAGGCCATATTTTGTGGGGATATTCCCTGAAATTTAGGCCTAAAAAATAGGCCAACAATATATGGCAGGTACCTACAAATTAGGTTCCTGAAATGGCCATTGATTTACTACCCTCTGGTAATTCAACATAGCTATTGAAAATGGCCATGTATTTATAGTTGAATTACCCATTAAACTTTAAACATCTTGATTTTCCAGTTCGCAAAGTCTTAGTTTAGCAGAAAAGTAACTATAATAATGGTGGTATTATAACCATTATTAACAATCATTATAACCATCATTATAACCATCATTATAACCATCATTATAACCATCATTATAACCATCATGATAACCATTATCATAACCATTAGTTACCCATTATGGGATTAACAACCCTACAGGATGGGGCCCCCAAGATAGCTAGGTTGCCTTATAAGTGGCTGAATTCTATGGTTTATGGTAGATATAACGAACTAGTTAATGGGGGTTATTTCATGGTTTATAAACCAACGTTCACATCACTGGGGGGGCCATCCTATACAAGTACTATCTGGTTATTTAACACAGCCATGGAAAATCACCATTTTGAATAGGTAAACCATCTATGAATGGGCCATTTCCCATGGCCATGTTAAATAACCAGAGGGTATATGGTAGATGTGGGGCCCGCAGCCCCAAGTAGTACAGTTTCAGCCTCGGCACACCACATCCTTCCACTTCACATTTTGCCCCAGCTCCACCGCTGCGATGATGGCGTGTCTCCTCGGGGCACGGTCTTCATGAAACTTGTGCCCTGAAAACATGGCTTTAAGGTCCTAGAATCAAGAAAATCGTTAAACTTAAACAATATATATAATTCAATCAATGTATATCCATAGTATGTATATATATATATAACTTATGTTGATATACAATATAAAATTCACTAAAAAAAATACTTTACTTCGTGTGATCCCCACCGTGACATTTTTACATGTTCTTACTGGCAAATCTTCTGGCATTCTATCTGACATATCTTCTGGCATTCTATCTGGCAAATCTTCTGGCATTCTATCTGGCATATCTTCTGGCATTCTATCTGACATATCTTCTGGCATTCTATCTGGCATATCTTCTGGCATATATTCTGACATATCTTCTGGCATTCTATCTGGCATATCTTCTGGTATATCTTCTGGCATATCTTCTGGCATTCTATCTGGCATATCTTCTGGCATATCTATCTGGCAAATCTTCTGGGATTCTATCTGGCATATCTTCTGGCATATGTTCTGGCATATCTTCTGGCATTCTATCTGGCATATCTTCTGGCATATTATCTGGCAAATCTTCTGGGATTCTATCTGGCATATCTTGTGTCATTCTATCTGACATTTTATCTGGCATACCTTCTGGCATTCTATCTGGCATATCTCATGGCATTTTATCTGGCATATCTTCTGGCATTCTATCTGACATTCCATCTGGCATATCTTCTGGCATTCTATCTGGCATATCTCATGAGGTCCGGCAGGGAACACTGGGCGCGGATGGTCCGGCAGGGAACACTTGGCGTGGATACTCGGGTTGAGGTCCGGCAGGGAACACTGGGCGCGGATGGTCGTGGTTGAGGTCGGCAGGGAACACTGGCGTGGATACTCGCGGTTGAGGTCCGGCAGGAAACACTGGGCGTGGATGGTCGTGGTTGAGGTCCGGCAGGGAACACTGGGCGTGGATGGTCGTGGTTGAGGTCCGGCAGAGAACACTGTGGATCGCGGGTCGCAGTTGAGCAAGGACGACGAGGACGACGAGGACGACGAGGAGGACGAGGAGGAGGAGGAGAGGAGGACGAGGCAGGAGGAGGCGGAGGAGGAGGAGAAGGAGGAGGAGAAGGAGGAGGAGGACGAGGAGGCAACTGACATAAAATCTAACAACCCTCACCTGGCAGGTGGGGAATAATGTGGATCCACTTTGGGAAAATCGTGTTTTAAGAAGTTAATGATGTGACCCATGTCAAAAGAAACACTCAAATTAAAGTGGATTACGGCAACACCACATTTGATTACCGGATACTAGAGATCTAAACCAAAGGGAACACTCAACTGGGTGGGAAGTCTTCTAATGATATCTACTGATTATCCTTTGGTAATCAAACATGGCAATGAACAGTCCTCCATTTATAAACTGGTTCGTCGCTTTAACCATATTGAAAAATATTAGTCAATGGGAAGGATTATCCCATATATTATGGGATATAAAAAATATTTTAAACTTTTAAACCAGCAACCAGTAAATGATTGTCCCAGCATATCTCCATTTACTTCAAGGATTCTCCAGCCAGAGACACCAGCCAATGCGAACCGGATGTCCAAAGATGTCCCAAGTGAAACTATTGTATAATGTCAACCCCGGAGACTACTGTAAATTCTGGTTTAGAAATTAGGGAATACTGTACGCCCTGACAAAATAGTGCTGTCATCTGCTACTCGAACTAAAAGGCTTGGATTGGTCTTACCTGAGAAAGTCCGTATATGTTGAACATCCAAAAATCATGGCGTTGAATGTCAAACGAGTGAGCACAAAAAAGCTGCAACTACATTGGGCATAATGGAGAATGCAGACTATGGCCTCCTTTCTAAGTGGCTACCTTCCGATAATCCATGGTCAACATCCACCTTCTGGGTAAATTATAATATGTCACTAACCTGAAATAAGGCCATTTTGGGATGATTCCCCTTATTAACCATGATTTCCAGTGAGGGAGACTAGTGAGGTCGTTATAATTACCCAGACCTATATGAACTTCATGAGAAAATCACCATCCACCCCTTGGATCCCTTGGAAAATGGCTGAATCATGCTGAATCTCATCCAACTTGACATAGCTCTGGAAAATTATACAATGTTACACCGTTCAACTACCGAAAATAGCCACTAACACTTAAGGGTTACCTACAGGATGGGGCCCCCAGTCGGTAGCGTTCAGTTGCCTTATAAGTGGCTGAATTCTATGGTTTATGATAGATAGAACGAACTACTTAATGGTGGTTATTTCATGGTTTATAAACCAACAAACATCACTGGGGGGCCCCATCCTGTATAAAAAAAGTTGGTGTTTTTGAATATAACTTCGCTATGCTAAGTTGGGTAGGCCGATTTCACTTTCCGCTTCTGCCGAGTTTCAAGACACTTTGGACAAATTCACCAAAATCTTCCGCCCAGTGGTGCGAGATGAAATAGTCCACCTGTAATCCACCTGAGGGCAGTGTGCTTAGTTTGCTTAGTTTGCTTATCCCCCAAGTTCAAAACATGCATCACATCTATTGAATCTATTGCTTTTGGATTTGGGGGAACACAACTGTTTTTTTTTAGTTTTCTTCTGCTAATGTCAAGGCAAGATGTTTAAAGTCACTGTTGAAATGGAGAATTGTCATATGTAGCCATCTATACTTGGAATAATCATCGTTCTAGGAACTTTCCTATGTCATAGAACGTTCTTCTTGATACTGAGTTGATCATTTCAAGTTTCAAGCAATACACTCTGGTAAATGAACATAGCTAGGGAAATGACCATTTTTAAAGACAAACTAACTATAAATGGCCATGTTCAATAGCTACGTTAAATTACTAGAGGGTAATCTAAAACCAATTTACTGATTGCCATTTGGATGGCACTCTACATAGATGGTACTGTAGCAGTTTAATCTATTTAGATAAGTATGTGTTGACATGTTCCATCATTTGTTGAATTTATCAAGGTTCCCAAGTTTCAGTAATATTAGTTTATATCAGTTTTTCAGTCATATCAGTTTCTGATATGTTCAAGTATCCCAATGATTCAGTTTTATCAGCAATATAGTAATAATGTGGTGGACCTCATGGATTGGAAAGGTAGATCTGGTTGGTTGTTTAATATACCATATAATATGGTATATTATAAAGCCATATCCATGGATATTAATGGTTATAATGGTTAATTTAAATCAACTATATGACCTGGTTGGTGGTTTCAACCATCTTGAAAAATATGAGCTCGTCAATGGGAAGGATGACATCCCATATATGAAATGGAAAATAAAATTCATGTTCCAAACCACCAACCAGGTAATAATGTGGTGGACCTCAAAATAAACCATCCCCCAACATAGATGGCGAATCGAATCAAAACCCTCACTTGCCCTGATGAACATTAAAATAGGTGGTATTGCTCAAATGGATGTTCATTCCCCCAAAAAACATGTTACAATAGGTTTTGACCCATCACCAGATGGGTTTACCAAAAAAAAACATAAATATACGTTGGCCTACCATAATTGATGTATTGACCTTCAAATAGTACTGTTTACCACACTAATATATGTGTTTACTTGGTCATCATTTTCTTGAGGCCTCCCGCTGGTGGGGATGTCCACGGCCAGAATATTCTGAGGTTTAAACTTCACCATGTGGGGTTTCATCCATGTTATTGATGTACATATTTATATAATTATCTGGTTGGTGGCTTCAACCCCTCTGAAAAATATGATTAAGATGGGATTATTGTTCCCAATATATGGAAAATATGGAAAATAAAATCATGTTCCAAACCACCAAGCAGTTATATATGCCGTTTGGATGAATATCTTCAGTTTATATAATCTCTTGAATTTGCTTGTATACGGGGTCCCCAAAAAAAGAACAAAAAAAAATGAAGAAAAAAAACAACTGGTAGATTTCCCAGTTCTGGTGGACGAACCAACAGGAAAACAAACCATAAACCAAATCATAAAGCTGGCATAGAAGCCTCAAAAATTACGCTTTGCAAGATGATTTTCCTATTAAAAATGTGCAATCATCCCCAATAAACTATAACAATCCCCAATAAACAGCAACAAACCGGGTAGTATATATCTGAGTAAATCATAATTAATTTACTGACCTGAAGGACATAAAAGGGGATGATACCCCTTACTATGATTCCAGTGAGGTCGCGACGCGACGTGAGGTCCTGATCAAATTGACCCTTAAATACATTACCCTCTGGTAATTTAACAGTTTGCTATTGAAAATTGCCATTTAGTTCGTTGATTTACCCATTAAACATGGTGATTTTCCAGTTCGTTATGTTAGATTGTTAGTTTACCAAAGGGTACTTAGTATCCATGAAAATCCAGTAACTCTCCAGTCAATCCTCACATTGATCGATCGTATATCGATGGTTCTACCCATACCCCATGGATTTACCCGGTTGGCTCAGTTTTCACCGTCCGCCCGCCGCCTGGATTCACGAGTTCCGAGTAGCCTGAGCCAGGGACCGGACCTTTTTTTTCCTTTTAACAGCACGGTGTCCAAGTGGCCTTATATACTCATCTTGGTGTAGTGTTTACACCTGTCCAGTTGTCCAAAAAAAAATGGTTGATGAAGAATAAAGATGAATAAAGTGAGTACCCTCTGGTAAACTAACATAGCTATGGAAAATCACCATTTTCAATTGGTAAATCCACTATAAATGGCAATTTTCAATAGCAAACTGTTAAATTACCAGAGGGTAATGTATTTGATGAAGAATAAAGTGAGTAAAGCAATGCTCTAAACCAGCCATAGTTTGATGGTTTATATATACCAGAGTTTATACCACCCATGATAGTATCCATTTCTGGTCAGATGATCCAATTTAAAAAAATCAGTGATAATCAGTGGTAAAACCAATAACAAACATCCCCGGAATCACCATTTTTATGGGAGGTATAAGTAACATGTGTACATTTATTGTTAATAATATTTATTCATTACTCATTAGTAACATTTATTTATTACTGATATTCTTACTAAGAATATTGTCACAGATGGAGGTGTCCAAAAATGGGAACAGGTACCCAAAATCGTTCAAGTCATTACCCTCTGGTTATGTCAAAATAGCTATTGAAAATTGCCATTTAGTTCGTTGATTCCCCTATTGAACATGGTGATTTGGTGATTTTGATAGGGTAGACCATGTTGATATTGACATCCTGTTTGTGACTTGGGGATCCCCCATTATCAACCAAGAGGGGCCTGATTTTGGGCCATTGACTGATAGTTGCATTACTCATCATACCAATATATAGTTATAACTTGTTCAACTAATATACGAGATATTATATATATATTGTAGTATAACTAATAGTTGGTTTATATTACTAATATACAATAATATACAAGATAGTGGTTTATTACTAATAACATATGTATTTGTCGGATTGTTATAAACCAACAGGTATTTCCTTTGGATTGCCCAAGTAGTGGATGTTCCATTGGGAAAATAACACATCATCTTCAGCAAACCCAAGTATCTAGTACATAACGTATGGAATTGTCCTAAAATGGTGGTTCCCCCAAATCATCCAAGTCATTAAGTCATTAGACCATTTTAGTATGAAATGCCTTGCTTTTGGGGATACACCATTTTACATTGCCAATCTTAGATACCCTGCAAACAGTTAAATTGTTGGCTGGTTGCTAGATATTCCTATTGAAATCGCAAGAGATGGATTAAACAACTTTTTCAGTTGGTTGACCTAGTTTAAGAAACACCCGTATGTCGGAAACCGATAATAGTACTATACCAAAAAACAGTACCAGTATTATGTTACGGTTAATGATTATTGGAAAACACAATAAACTAGTGGAAATATGTTAGAAATCAATAAAGTAGTGGTTATTAAGTGGCCATTGACTAATAGTTATACTACCAATATATCGTTATACTAACGTATGCATTTGGATAGTTATCAAATGGTTTATCGGTCCCCTTATAATCCCATTATGTCCAGTGTTTCATAGGAATCCCAATACTTACCAAGTGGTGTAGGATATTGTCCATCCACAGTATGTTAGAAACCAACTATCAATGATTGGTTTAAGGGAACATGTGCGTTAGAAACCCTGGTGTTTTTCCCATGAAATATGGGGCGTTCCTGAAAATTTTCCCATAAACCAATCCATTGAAATGCCTAATATAATTCACGCATGGTTTAGTAATAAGTATACTAATTGGTGGTTTCAACCCCCTCGAAAAATATGAAAGTCAGATTGGATCATCATCCCAACTATTGGGGAAAACAAAAAAATGTTCCGCACCACCAACCAGTAAAGTTAATATTAAACATCGACTAAACTTACTAAGGTCGGGCTTGAAATTTTGACACATAGCCATCCCATAGCCACTTGGAAACCCTTGTTTTATGCGGTATTAATAAATGGGTTATAAACCATTAATGGGTTTATTGTTAGTTTCAATGGTTCAATGGTTTGACATTGTTTTAACCACATTAATCCAATTAACATAGACCCTGGCATTCATCGGGCTTGGAAACTTTGCTTCCACTAAGCAATGGTGATTTTCAGGGTCAAAGTGCTACGTACTTTACCAGAGGGTAACCCCTATTGGCAAATCCCTATAAAATTCTCCTTATCAGAGGCAACTAAGTGGCATAATTGCATATATATATATAATCATCAATACCCTATATATATATATTAATATATCATATCATATTATTATATTATATTATATCATATTGTATTATAAACCAAGTATTGCTAAATTGGCCAGAGGGTATCATCTATTCAACCCAATACATAAATCAACCATTATCAATATGAATCAACCAGTCATTTAATAACCATACAAATGTTAGTAACCATTATCAACCCAATATTTATCATCTATTTAGCAACGATGATCATCTAATCAACCCAATATTTGTCATCTCCATTAGCATATATATATATATGTTTAATTATATAAACCAGACATTGCTAATTTGCACTAATCCAGATATTTGATATCAAATATTCATCCAGTTATGGATATGTACCCACATTATCCACATTATCTGGTTGGTGGTTTCAACCCCTCTGAAAAATATGAAAGTCAGTTGGGATGATAAAATTCCCAACTGAATGGAAAGTCATAATCCATTCATGTTCCAAACCACCAATCAGCCAATGTTTCATTGTACTGGAAGGTAAATCCTATGACTGTGGTGATACAACCACCTATTAGTGGAAATGCACTTATAATAAATAGGTGGTTATAAAAATACCATTACAAATACCATTACTATTCCCATTACTAATACCATTACTAAAAATATTAAAAATTAAAACCTATAATAAATACTATTAATTATATTAGATGGGAAAATCCCCTCTAATAACCAATCACCAGGGTTTTTAGACCAGTTATACTTTGGTTATTTAACATAGCCGTGGAAAATGGCCCATTTCTAGATGATTTTCCCAGCTAGAAACTTCCATTTATAAGGGATTTTCCATGGCTATGTTAGTCATAACCAGATGGTAACTGGTCCAAAAACCCTGGTGATTGGTTATTAGAGGGTATAAAATCCCATCTGATATAATTCATGTAATATTTATTATAGGTTATAAGTTATCGTTTATATCATTTGCGAAAACACCAAAAAAAAACACCATTTTTTGTTAACAGCTCCAAGCCCAAGCGACTCACACCCTTCGCTTTGGTCTTTGGAATGATGATCAATTCCGTCACCGCCTTGGGAGAGATATGGATTTCATGTGGATTTCATGTGTTTTTTTAAATGGATTTTTTATGGATTTACCAAGCAGAATGTGGATGTGTAAAAAAATATATGGATTTAGAGTCAAGATGAACTAGCTTAACTACGATTGGATTTATGGCTAGCTTTAGTTTAAGATGGCTAGTACACCAACTTCGGGGCAGCACTTTGTGGGAATACTTCATCCTCAGATTCCACATCCTAAATGGATCGACAATTCGACCATTCGATCGCATTGAAAGCCATTAGATTCGGGGCACCCATTTTGGGGAAATACCCTCTGGTAAACTGTCCCGTAACTATAGAAAATCACCATTTTTCATGGGTAAATCCACTATAAATGGCCATGTTCAATGTCGCAAACTGTTTGTTTACCAGAGGGTGCCCCTTAAATGGGCGAATGGAACTCAACCTGTCCTCCTTCCATCGAGATGCATAGAGGTTGGTCTCCCGCGGTCGTTTGCTGCGGTCTCTCACCTTTTCGTCCTTTCGATTGGCGTGCACGCACAACCTGAGGCCCGAAAGACCCCGAGGGGGTGCCACTAGGCATGGTCAATAGATGGTCCAGCCCATTGGATAACATCCCAAGGTCAATGACTACTTCTCCAAGGTCAACGGGCTATAAATCATATTTGGCTGGTTCAGGTTTTATATCATTTGTCAAATCATGATTGCAGGATTCTTGGATTGAGGCTCTTCCTTTTAAGTTGTTTCAGACATATGTATATGAATGACATATTCTTCCCGGTGAGTCTACTCATTCCACCAGGTGGCGCGCAGTTGTGTGAATGTTGGTTTAAAAACCCTAGGAACCAGGAAACCACTTCGTTATATCCCCCATACACCCAAGACTTCTTGAAGTTTCTTGCGCCTAAACACTTCGCGATAAATCTCGAAAACACCACGGGATGGGGCCCCCCAGTTATGTCTGTTGGTTTATAAACCATAACAAAACCACCATGAACTAGTTCGTTATATCTACCATAAACCATCGTTTTTTCGCCACAAAAATATCTCAACTGAACGCGAGCTCGACTGGGGGCCCCATAAAACACCACCGGCAGTTTTTTTTCTTCGTCCTTCGGATTCCGCCCAGCAGCTGACACAAGGTGGTCGGCAAACACAATGGCTTCGGAGGTTCCTCCAGCTCCTCGTAGATCACGTCACCGCAAAACCTCTAGCGACTCTGACGAGAACAGTTGCCCTGAGACTTCCCCAGAAGGTTTGAATGTTCTTAAAACATCTTATGTATGCATAAATAATCATGAATATTTGTATATATATATATATTATATATATATATTTATATACACCATAAATGAATGATGGATATTTTGGGACTGTACATCATATGTAGCACTATATAGTTCATGGTGGTTTTAAGGGTTTAAACTAAAAAGCCAGATTACTACCGTCCATCAAATTAGGCCCTGATGCCCATGCCATGGTTTTTCAATGCCTGCAGATAGGCACACGTGTTCTCAGCGCCACAGAGCTCAGAGTACAGCTCTCGCACCCTGACCTCTCTCAACCAGCAAATGCCTTTGGATCGGGACGATCCTTTCCCGGCTCCATTCCATGGGTACACCCGAGAGCCA